CCTCTACCGATTCTTCACTGGTGTCTGGTGCGATCTCGTTCGGACGCTGCACCGATGGCGCTGGATCGAATCCCGAGCCTCCGATTAGTAATCGCACACATGCAGAGGGGGAACGAGGCGAACGCGGGGAGAGGGACAACAGACGCGTTAGTGGTAGGTAGATTCACACATGACGCAAAGAAGGAAAGTGACGAGACTCGCTAGGCGGTGCAGTCCTAGACGCCTACATGAATCCCCTCATCAAACCGTCCCGCTTACGTACCTATAATCTTTCATTTCATTGATCGCGTGCGAGATTTAAGGTAACGCCTGCGACGTTTGGCGAAACTTCACATGCGGTGTCTGCTGCGACCTCGTTCGGACGCTGCACCGATGGCGCCGGCTCGAATTCCGTGGCTCGGACGCGCACATGCAGGGGGGAGAACGAGGAGGAGAACAGGGGAGAAAGACGGTAAACGCGTTAGTGGGAGGGTGATTACGCACATGACGCGACGAAGGAGAGCGACGAGACTCTCTAGGCGTTCCTTTCCTAGACGCTTACAGGAATCCCCCCCCAACACCCTTCGCTCTTACGTACCGTTTATCGTCCTCTGATCGCCAACGATCTCCTAAGGAACGCTTGCGAGCTTCAAACAGTGTTTGGCGCAACCCTTAGCCGGACGCTAATACGACCCGAATCCCGCGCCTCCGATTTAATTGCACAAATGCAAATGGGAGAACGAGGAGGACAGGAGGAGAGGGACGGTACACGCGTTAGCGGAAGGGTATCATTGAACATGACTCGAACGGGGAAAGCGACGAGACTCTCTAGGCGTTCCTCTCCTAGACGCCTATATGATTCCCCCCACCAGCCTTCGCTATTACGTACCATGAATGATCCTTCATTGTTCACGACCGAAATCCAAGGGAACGCCGAGGAACTCGATGCGAACAAACGCGATCCTCAAGGCGAACGGCCGAGAACAATCTCCCGCGAACTGCGTCACGCTGCTTCGGAACGTGTTTTGCGAGGTCTTGAACTTGACGCATCGAAAACGTCCACCTCTTGACGGCCAGAAAATCGGAATGAAAAAGCGCTGCTTGCGATGCTGGTCGGCGAACACTCCTGCCGTTTGCGAACAGCTGTGTACGCTGCTTCCCGCTATTCGTACTCCGAGAAAGGCTGCGTTGTTTCCCGCGGCTGGGTGTGCGAGCAATCTCGACGGCCGATTGTCGGTTCCGTCCGGTTGGAGGCTGTCGTCGATGCTGCTCCTGCCGCTTCCAGTCTCACGGGGGTTGAAAAACGTTTGCTTCACACTGCCAGTTTCGACGGTGGAGCTAATACTCCGTCACTCGGGCTGGAGGATGCATAACTTGGCTCTATTCCAAGACTTGCTGGAACAACCGCCTCCCGTCGCACGAGCCTTTCATGATTCGAAAGACCATCTCCGGTACACGTCAGCTGTTGCGTCATGTCGTCTTGTCGCCGCGTCACTCCACTCTAAAGTTTAGCAGGTCGCTGGAGGGCAAGCAGAGGTAGACGGGAACCCGAAAAGGTGCACTACACAGCTACCTCTAGAGCTGTGATTTGTTGCTGTGGGACGTATCCGTAGCAAAGCTTTTCGCGAACCGTCGTAACCGTCGTACAGCAGCGTGCGATGGTGCATCAGGGAGAAATCATTCTCATAATGAACTGTATCAACGCTGAGCCTAGCCGAATCTACAGTAGCGCGAGCAGCAATTGGTCGTTTCTTCTGAAAATCACCCCTCGCCAAATGAAGTTGACAATAAGAGCTTTGTTATAGAGCTTAATGTATAACAGTAACAGATAGAGTAACGGCTTAATGAGCCGTGGACTAGTAACAGATAGAACGAGTACAAGAACCACATGCTATAGACAAATTGAAATACCCGGCTACTAATAGTAACTCTTTTGGTCTAATCAGCTCGAACCGTAGCCGTACTGCTGCAGAAGCTAAGAGACCTAAGTCGGGAACATGGAGGACTAATCTTCCGAGGAGAGCTAGTACCAGGTGCAGTGACTCGCATTCTGACTACTGACCAGAGAAGGGAGGAAAGCCTTCGGATTGGAAATTGGGAATGCTTTGGGAGTTCCGCCGCTGGGGAAAGCAAAGCTGCCGCCGTGTGACGGTAAGGGAATGGCATTCAGCTCGGCTGGCCCGCGCTTCGTTGGTGTGGAAGCCTTCTGTCATGCTCGTGAGCTGATTGGACAGAAATTGCGCGCCAAAAGTGTCGCAGTTTGAAAGCTTTCAGCGGTTTCTCGCTGTAACGTGGCTCGGTACGGTATCGCACGCGATACCTCTTTCTCGATTTGTGAAAGACATCAAATTCACCATTCGAACACATTAGAACATTACCATAGAGAAATGGGATGTTGAAAGGACAAGAGAAATACATCGGTAATAATTTATGGTTCGCCATCATCCAGGAATACCTACACATTTTCAAGCAAGCGTCATTTATACATTTCTGAAATTCTAGAAACATCCGGAGGAGGTCCATGAAACATTTACGGCATATAGTGGTGGCAATGTGGTGGCCACATGCTGGTAAAGCTTTGCCAAACGATTAAAATTATCCAGCAATCACTTGGCTTTCCGCCGGAGCTCATACAGGTACCCCAGAACAAGAACTCCAGCAGTGACAACAGCACCAAACGCACTTTGGGCCAAGATGGTGGATGCACTAACAGTCTCCTTGGCTGCAGCATCAGCTTCCCAGAACGCTGGAGAGGTATCCTTGCACCCAAGCTCAGACATTTTCTTGTGTGCAGATGTGTAGTCCCTAAAAAACGCCTCCTCATCCTGCAAATAGCAACAGAAGGCAAAATGGACCCATAAGTACTTCTGCACCCTCCAACCCAACTCTAGGAACAATCACAATTGCCTCTATTGCTTACCTTTGCATACAACTCAACGAATGGACGAAACTTGGGGTCCTCTACGAGGCACTTGTCCGTGGGAAGCTGGAGTAGTCCTGTAGCGTCTCCTTTCAAGAGCTCACTGTTGCAGGGGCACAGGAAAAGGTATGCCAACACAGACTGCCTGAGTAAGACACGCTTCTGACACAACAAAAACATACTCTGTCTCAGTTTTTGAACTCACATGTAGTAGGTGTTGTCAAATTTCAGTGGTTGCTGCGTCCATGCCCCCTCAAAGCCAGAACGATCCTTATGTGCACGCCCCTGCATCCACATTCAGAATTTAATTACACAATGCCTCGTGCGTTTGCAGGAATGTGAGTTTAAGCGGTGGCTTACCAAAGTGTGTGATCCACTCAATGCCACAATGTCTTGATCGCTGAACCCCATGCGGCAGAATATATCTCGTAGATGAGCAGATCCTGAAACGGAAGGGCGGCATTGGAAAAGATGACTCACATGCTCACACAAACAATCACGAAGCCCCCAATACCACAAAGTGAAGTTCACGAATACTAGGTGTGGACAGTTCGCCTGAATTCACGCACCTTTATGAGCATCTGGCAGCCTGCCGTCAGGAGTAACAGCCAGGGAGTCCTGCCCAACCAGCGCCCGGACAGCCAGAGAATGAGCTGTGAGCACAAGAAAACACACAGAAAGAAAACTATGGAGGCGTGTGCTTGAGCTCACCTTTCGGCCGGGCTTGAGAGGGATGGTAGGACCTCCAGTTACTTCAACAGCTACTACGCCAGCTAGCTGCTCAATCAAGACGGCAGTGAGTTAAAATGCCAGAAGAAGGTTGATAACAGGTTAAATGCGCACAAAACACAAGGTGGGAACCAAGATTGCACCTGGTAGATGTCAGCGTATGATACTCGTGGATGTTTCGCCTTGACCGGCTCTGCAGACAGGAAACACTGCAATGAGTGCTTATCCGTTACCAGCCCTGTGAATTGCGAAAATGACATGTAAGCTCACCAAGCAGGTCGATGCCTATCTTCATCCCCGCGTTTCCGCCATGAGTGTATTCCAGCTCGCTTCTTATCGAAGCATTTGGTCCGCCGCTTCTCGTCTTCGCGTCATAAGTGCCAGCATCATGAAACCTAAAATCAATTCACACGCGCAGGAACAAAACACAATCGCATTGCTGTCTCTCGTAATCATCGATAGACCGTTTTAAAACAGATTCGACGAAGTCCAGTGTCTTACGCCAAGCGGAGCATAAGCGGGGCGCAGCTCTTTTCTGCGATTAGCGATCGCAAGTCTCGCCTGACCGCCTCAATCTCCTTCAAGTAATCCGCGTCAACCGTAGGGGCCTGCATGATTCCTTCTTCACAGATGTCAGCCTACTAGCAAGCCAACCTGACCCTGCCGAAGAAACGACAAGCTCTGACGGAATACGGAACGCGAGACGGTCAGACAACACGGTGACGGTGACTTTATGGAGGAGAAGGAAGCAACATGAAGTATATTACTGGCAGAAATGTTGGCTGAAGAATTTGGGAACAATTGTGAGAGAGGTTATGCGAAAGCAGTGACGCTGATTGGCTGAGAAAGTGAAGGTCGAAGAAGAACTGGGGGAAACAGGGGCCAAGCAGGGGCAGTGCGTGGACCCAAGCAGACGAAACCTTGAAGTTGGCCAGCTCATGAACGAGGGGATGCTGGCGTGGCACGGGCCACGTACGCCAGCGAAGTGGTCCCTCCATTCCCCTCAAAATTATTTGCCGTACGCGTTTGAAGTCCAGCTGCTGAAGTTAGCTAGCTACTAACACATACAAGAAAGGGCTCTACCATTCTATGCAATCCCAATGGGTGACCAGCAAAAATGGCGACCTTCATCTAATGAATCCAATGCATCCATCTTTTCCTTGTCCAATGAGAAATTGAATATGTCAGCGTTCTCTGCGATCCGGCTTGCGCTCACAGACTTGGGTATTGTAACTGGCCATGAATATGACAAGGACGGCAGGGAGAGGGGGGTTGTATTGGACAGTCAATGTGCAGCAAAATTAACTGTCAGATAATGGATGGAACGAGAAGCACCAAGCAGTTTGAAACGCATTGACAACACGAAACATACCCATTCCATGCTGTAGGCTCCACCTGAGCAGCACTTGAGCAGCTGACTGCTCAACTTCCTTGGCCACTTGTTGCACAGTTGGTTGCTGTAACAGCTGAGAACATACACGAATAAAATATAGCAAAAACAGATAGTTCACCGGAGTATGTGCCACATATGCTTGACGTGATCCTAAGCACCTCGAGTGAGTAAGACATTGAGCAGCAACTTGCAAACGCACATTTGCTTGAGCAGCTGATTGCAATAGGTAAGCAATCTGCTCTTGCATGGTACCTACAGTGCATCCAAACTGCACATTTCCACACAAATGCCACCACTTGTCACCACACCACAGAGGTGCAGACGCTGCCACACAGCTCAAACGCCAACCACCTGGCAGCAACAGAAACTCACCTGGTAGCAACAGAGACCCACCTGGCAGCAACAGAAACTCACCTGGTAGCAACAGAGACCCACCTGATAACAACAGAGACTCACCTGGCCACACCCCAGGGGTGAGTAAGCTGCCACACAAATACCACGCTCAGCACAGTAGACTCGCAGCGACCGCTGAGTCAGCAGCGGGTGCACCTCCACCTGGTTGACAGCTGGCAGGGTGGCAGAGTTTGTCATCAAGTGGTCGAGATGGGCGGCAGTGAAGTTGCTGACTCCAATGGCGAGGCATTTACCTGGAAGAGGAGGGAAGGCACGTGTTATGTAAATTCTGGAAAAGCCCATAACGTGCTAAGAAAAATAATAATTATAAAAACCGTCCCAGCCCCTCTACCCCTCTCCACCCCCTTCTACCCCCGTCTCCACTACACCCCTCCACTCCCCTTTGCTCCTCCCTCTCGCCCCACCTTCCCTCTGAAGTTGCTCCAGAGCGCGCCAAGACTCCAGGCGAATCTCTGCATTCTTCTCAGACGCCCTGGGAAGACAGGTGGCGGGGAGCCGTGTGGGAGGAAGGTCAATGGGGGGTAACAGAGTCCTGAGACGCCTCAATACAGTAAGGTTCGAGGGTACAAGCGGAAACAAAGAGCAGGGAGAGCAGGAACGACAGAGGAGGGCAAGTGGAGTAAGAAGGGGTTGATTACTCACCTATCTAGCTTTGCCACTCCGGGCCTGGGGATAAGGGGAGGGGAGAGGGGAGAGAGGAGAGGGGAGAGGGGAGAGGGGAGAGGGGAGAGGGGAGAGGGGAGAGGGGAGAGGGGAGAGAACAGGAGCGGAGAGGAGGGAGGAGGGAAGAGTGAGGAGAGAGGAGAGAGAGAGGAGAGCAGGGAGGGAGGAGCGAGGAGGGAGAGGAGAATGGCAGTGAACACAGGGGTGCACTGACAGATGAAGTGATCTGAGTTGGGAAGGTAAGTGGTCAACGGGCAGAGTAAAACGAGGGTAAGAAAAGACGAGGGAAAAGAGGGCAAGGATGAGGGATGAGGGCGAGGATTCAGGGCGAGGGCAGGTGAGGGGTACGCACCAGTGCAGCAGGTAGAGGTCCTAAGAAGGGACGAGGGGCGGGAGGGTTGTCAATGCACATGGAGGGAGGGTGAGTGAGGGAGGGAGGAGAGTAATGGGAGCAGGAGTGGGAGGGATTCACTGTCCCTCCCACTTCCATAATCACACTTGATAGGGAGAGTGCGAGCGGTGGAGTGGAGCAAGAGAAAGGAGGTGGGCACCGTAAGCATCTCACACACGCACTTCCATAATCACACTTGACCTCTCACATGCACACTCTCTCACTCACTCACACACTCTTGCACCATGAGACTCTCTAGCTCACTCTGCACTCACCAGGTAGTCTGTTTGCAGGCGCTCCAAGGACGCCGCACATGCGCACACTCACTCACTCACTCAAACTCATGCGCGCCACCTTACTCCTACACTCTCTTTCTCACTCACTCACTCAAACTCGTGCGCGTCACCTTACTCCTTCACTCTCTTTCTCACTCACTCACTCACTCAAACTCATGCGCATCACCTTAATCCTACACTCTCTTTCTCACTCACTCACTCAAACTCATGCGCGTCACCTTACTCCTACACTCTCTTTCTCACTCACTCACTCAAACTCATGCGCGTCACCTTACACCTACACTCTCTTTCTCACTCACTCACTCACTCAAACTCATGCGCGTCACCTTACTCCTACACTCTCTTTCTCACTCACTCACTCACTCAAACTCATGCGCGTCACCTTACTCCTACACTCTCTTTCTCACTCACTCACTCACTCACTCAAACTCATGCACGTCACCTTATTCCTACATTCTCTTTCTCACTCACTCACTCACTCAAACTCATGCGCGCCACCTTACTCCTACACTCTCTTTCTCACTCACTCACTCACTCAAACTCATGCGCGCCACCTTACTCCTACACTCTCTTTCTCACTCACTCGACGCACACTCACCAGGTAGTCTGTTTGCAGGCGCTCCAAGGACGCCGCACATGCCGCTAGAGCCTGCTGGAAACTGGTGTGAGGGAGGGAGAGGGAGAGTGAGTGAGTGAGCCAGTGAGAGAGCGAGTGGGTGAGAGCAGGCTGTAAGGGAGGTGCTGCACAAGCATGCACCAAGATATGCAGTCCACATGTATGCACTGACGTGCACAATCACATGCGCAGTCCACGCTCTAGGCGTGTGATTGAGCACATACACATGTATGCACTGACGTGCACATTCCTACACACAGCATGACCCTCACCCATGCTCGTAAGGCGAAGCTTTGGAGGTGATAAAAACCTCCTCCCTTGCAATGCCGTACTCTCTAATGGCCTCCCCGACTTCCGCTTCGTTCTTGTACACTGATGCAGTGTCTGCATTAAAAGAATATATAACAGCCTTTAGATGAAACGAATGGGGTGATACAGCGAGCAAAATATCGGGCGGGCCACCCATGGGCTCACCTATGTGCCTGTATCCCGCTGCCAGTGCTGCTTTGACTGCCTCCTTCACCTCCCCACCTTTGGCCTTAAATGTGCCCACTGGAAGCACGTGCACACATGCATGCACATGCACGCACAGACAGAAGAGCGCAAGGGGGGAAGGGGGGAAGGCAGAATGGGGGAAGGGGGAAGAGGGGAAGGGCAGAATGGGGGAAGGGGGGAAGGGCGGAACGGGGGAATGGGGGAAGGGCAGATGGGGGGAAGGGGGGATGGGGGGAAGGCGGAAGGGGGGAATGAATGGAAGGACGAGGAAAGGGGAAGGTGCAGGCAATACGGAGGAATGGGGCATGGAACAGGGGGGAGGCGGAAGAGTAAGGAATAAAGAGTCGTAAGGAGGAAAGAGGAGGATTGGAGAGGGAAAAGGCGGAAGGGGGAGGATGGAATAGGGGGAAAGCAGAGGATTGAATAGGGGAAGGGCGGAGGATTAAATAGGGGAAGGGTGCACAGGCGAGGCGGGGAATGGAGGTGCCGTTGGCGAGGCGGATGTGCGACGTCAAATCCATGGCGCTGCGCTGATGGCTTGGAATTCAAGGCGCCTGGAGGTGAGCGCGCGAGCAGTTGAAGCGAGCACTGGCGTGTGCGGCGAGTGCAACTGTCCGGAACGTTACAGCGTGTGCGAGCGCGAAGTGGCGAAGCGCGAAGGCGAGTGCAAAGCGCGAAGGCGAGTGCAAAGTGCGAAGGAGCGCGCGCCTCAATGCAACGCGAGCGGCCAGAGAGCTTCCTCTTTGCGCTCGTGTGCAAGCGCGGTCACAAGTGTGTAAGGACAATGGGGGTCTGTACCCAGAGCCCCGAACATTGGATGAGTTTCCAGCAAGATGCTAAGCTGGGTGAAATAGGGAGCGTAGGGCGGACTGATACAGGGTCGTGCAATCAAATGCGCTCATGGAATGTTGCGGGGAGTTGCGCCGTTAACTCTGCCGCGAACAAAAAACAAAGCCCATAGAGAAAAACATTTATTAGGGGTGCTCCGAGAATCGAACTCGGGACCTCTCGCACCCGAAGCGAGAATCATACCACTAGACCAAGCACCCATGGATTTTGAACATCTTGTCACATTTGGAGCAAATACAATTACAAATCATACCATTACCTTCGCTTGACGGGACAGCAACAGCCATGAAGCGGCAGCAGGCAACCATCTCTCGCTTCTTCGCGCGCAAGCCGTCCCCAGCGCAACCAACCCCGCTTCCCACCTCCCCCTCCCACACCCCGTCCCCATCACAGCCGCCAGTCGCCGTCCGCGTCACCACTCCGTCCTCCCTCCTCCGCCCGCCGCGCGCCTCCCCCGCCGCCGGCGGCGGCGGTTTCGGTAGTAGCCGTGGTGGTGGCGGTGTCAATAGCGGATTGGTGAAGGAGATCGGATCGGCGGAAGCGGAAACTGAGAATGGGGGAGCCGCGGGGCCTCGTGGGGAGGATCGGGGGTGGCGGAGAACAGGAAGCGGGGAAGAACCGGGGGGGAGTGGGGGCGGAAAGGAAGGTGTGGCGGAGGGGAAGGCGGAGGGGAAGGGGGATGAGCTAGAAGCGGAGGGGGAAGGCGGAGGAGTTGTGTTCAAGCGTAAGCGGGCGGGGGGAAGGCGGGCAGCGCGGAGATTAGTGGCGGATGGAGGGGCGGATGAGGGGGATGGGGGAGAAGAAGAAGAAATGGGGGCACCGATGGGGGAGGACGAGTGGGGGGAAGGAGAGAGGCGGAGAAAGAGGGGAAGGGGGGAAATTGAAGGGGAGGATGAGGTGGGGGCAGGGGCAGGGGGAGGGACATGGGAGGATGTAACTGAAAAGGGGAGAACGGAATTGGCGGAAGGAGAAAGGGGCAAGACCCTTGTAGCAGCACCTGCTGCCCATGCTGCTGCTGCTGCTGCTGCTCCCACAGCCACCTCTGCCGCCCCACTCTCGGCAATTCGAGCCAGCTTTCTCAAAAGGCTTGACTCCCATCCTTCCGAGAGAGTTGTTTCTCATCCTTCCGCTCCACACCCCGCACCCACTACCACCACCAAAGAGGGTAGCGATTTCATCCCCGGTATAAGCCTGCCCCTTCCAGGCACAAAGCTCACCCCGTTAGAAGAGCAGGTCGTGGCGCTGAAACGCCTCCACCCGGACGTTTTGCTATTGGTCGAGGTCGGCTACAAGTTCCGGTTTTTCGGGGCCGATGCTGACGTGGCGGCGCGGGTTCTCGGCATCTACTGCCACGTGGACAGGGCTTTCCTGACGGCGTCGATCCCCACGTTCCGCCTGCACGTGCACGTGAGGCGGCTCGTGGAGGCGGGCTTTAAGGTGGGCGTGGTGCGGCAGAGCGAGACGGCGGCCATTAAAGCCCACGGGAGCAACAAGGCCGGCCCGTTCGGGCGGCATCTGTCGGCTTTATACACGCGGGCAACGTTGGAAGCGGGGGAGGATCTGGGAGGGGAAGGAGGGGAGGGAGGGGAAGGGGGAGTGGGTGAAGGGGCCGGGAATGGGGGAGGGGGAGGGGGGATGGGGGGACGGCTGAGTAGTTACCTGGTGTGTATAGCAGAGGAGAGTGTTGGGGAGGGAGGGAAGGGGAAGAGGGAAGGAGGGAAGGGAGATGCTGGTGGTAGCACTGCTGCTGCTGCTTCCTCTCCCGGCTTCTCCCCATCAACCACGGATCTGGACTCGTCTCAAGGCTGGGAAACAGGCTCGGCAGCAGGCATGGGAGCAGGCTCGGGAGCAGGCTCGAGAGCAGGTTCGGAGGGCGATGTGCGGATAGGGCTGGTGGCGGTGGAGACGTCAACAGGGGACGTGGCACAGGGGTGCTTCACTGATGGTGTGCTGCGGGGAGAGCTGGAGACCCACCTCGCTCACTTCGCCCCCACTGAGATCGTTCTTACTGGAACCATTACGCCAGCCACTCACAAGGTGAGGTGTGTTTTGAGTCGACTTAACGGGTGACGTGGCACAGGGGTGCTTCACTGATGGCGTGCTGCGGGGAGAGCTGGAGACCCACCTCGCTCACTTCGCCCCCACTGAGATTGTCCTTACTGGAACCATCTCGCCAGCCATGCACAAGGTGAGTTCTCTCTGCCCTCCCTGCTATCAGTGCTTCAGAAGAGTTCGCTCCCCCTTCCCCCTTCTGTGTTTCCCCGTTTCCGTCCTGCCCTCCCCCCTTGACTTTCACCTCTTCCCCCTACCGCCTCCCCTCTCCCCGTTTCCCTCGTCCCCCGTCAACCCCATCCCCTCCGCCATCCCCCCCCCCACCCTGACCCTCCCCGCTCCCACCATCAGCTCCTCTCATACCTTGCGTGCCGAGACCCCGCACCAAGAGTCACCACGGCAGGGGGTGATGGGATCACTGCTGCTGCCGTGGTTGGGGGAGGCCCTGGGAAGGCTGGGGGCGGTGGCGGCAGGAGCAGCAGCAGAGGCAGCGGCAGCAGCATGTGTGGGGTGCGTGCAGCTCTTGCAGAGTTCTTTGCGACGATGCCAAACGGGGCTGCTTGTACTGAGGACGCAGGCAAGGGGCATGAGGATGGGAATGGAGAGAGGAAGAAGGAGAGGGAGGAGCAGCAGGAGAGGGAGCGTCAACAGGATGAGCAGCTGCAAGAGGTAGACCCAGCAGTGGAGGCGGTGCTCTCCATGCCACCAGTGCTGCTCAGAGCGCTCGCTGCTGCTGTGGACTATCTGAGGGAGTTCAACCTCCACCACGTGCTCGCTCTGGGCGGCGGCTTTCGTCCTCTCTGCACCGGCCACCAGATGACTCTCTCCTCCAATGCTCTCGAGCAGCTCGAGGTGAGCCTTAAAGCCCCTTAAAGCCCCCTTTTAGATATTCTCAGAAACACTTACCCACCTGGACCATAGGCGCGCGCATGGACAAAGGCGTGCGCGTGGACCAAGGCGTGTGCGTGGACAAAGGCGTGCGCGTGGACCAAGGCGTGCGCGTGGACCAAGGCGTGCGCGTGGACCAAGGCGTGCGCGTGGACCAAGGCGCACGCGTAAACCAGAGCGCGCGCGTGGACCAAGGCGTGCGCGTGGACCAAGGCGCGCGCGTGGACCAAGGCGCGCGCGTGGACCAAGGCGCGCCCCGCTATTGACTACTCCTTTCCCCCCTCCCCACCCTCCTCCCCGTTTTCGCCCTGGACGTCACAGATCATGCACAATAGTGCAGACGGCAGCACACGCGGATCCCTCCTCTGGCTGCTCAACCACACGCTCACAGCGGCAGGGGGACGACTCATGCGCCACTGGGTCACCCACCCCCTCACGCACCTCCCCCACATCACCCTCCGCCAAGAGGCCGTCGCAGAGCTCCTATCATCCTCCCCCTCGCTCTCCTCCCCCTTGACCGGCGTGTCTCGTACGTTTCCTGGGAGTGGGCGCGGAGGGGGAGCGGTAGGGGCGGCGAGCAGAGGGGCGGGTGGGGAGGGGGAGGGGGGAGTGGGGGAGGTGGTGCGGGGAGTGCTGGGATCACTGGCTCGGGTAGGGGATGTTGAGAGGGGAGTCACGCGGATACTGCACAAGACTGCCACTCCCAACGAGGTGAGAGTGTGAGGGGCGTGCCGGGGCGTGAGGCGTGCTGGGTTCATAAGTTTAAAAGAACAAGGCAGTTTGAATTGAAGCAGGAAGCAAAGCACCCTAATTCCCGTGTCTGCTATGCACAAGGCTTCTCCATCACCCACCCCCTTTATCGTCCCCCCTGCACATGCCCCTCAGTTCGTGCGAGTGCTCTCAGCCCTGGCGTCTGCAGCACAGCAGCTGCGCTCCCTTCTCCCTGACCCCCCTTATACCACCACCGCCAGCACCACCGCCAGCACTGCTGCTGATACTGACCCTGACAGCAGCAACGATACTCCTAAGGTGAAGTCGGCCCTGCTGCAGAGACTGCTGCGGGCAGCAGCGTCGCCAGCTGTGGTGCGCCACGCCCGGCGCATGTTGAGTGCTGTGAACGCTGATGCTGCAGCCCGTGGCGACAAGGTGAACCTCATTGTGTGCGCGGCCCCATCCCACCATAGTCAGCAACAGCAAGAGCGTAAGCAATATGACAGCAATCACCACGTTCGAGGCGTCCTGGATGACAAAGGAGAAGAAGCAGTGGAGCCTTCCCTGCAGTTTCCAGAGCTCTGGACATGCAGAGAAGCAGTGTGTGAGGCAGAGGGGCAGCTCAACTCGCTCCTCCCGGCCATCCGGTCCCAACTGCGTCTCCCCTCCCTCTCCTTCTTCTCCGTTTCCGGTGCCACTCACCTCATCGAAGTCCCCTCAGCCCTCCGAGTCCCCTCTGATTGGCTCAAGCACAGCGCTGTCAAGGCCGGCAAGGCCGGAGGCGTTACACGTTACCACCCGCCAGCTGTCCTCGCGGGATTGGACAGGCTGGCGCTGGCAAAGGAAGCTGCGGCGGCGGCAGCAGGGAGGGCTTGGCAGGAGCTGTTGGAAGGGTTCAGGACAGAGGGAGGGGGGCATGTGGAGCTAAGGCAAGCTGTTAAGGCATTTGCTGAGCTGGACTGTTTGTGTGCGCTTGCTGCTGTTTCTGCTTCTAAGGGGTATGTTCGGCCGGAGTTTTTTCCCGAAGATGGGCCCCAGAATGTGCTTATAGCGAATGGGAGGCACCCTGTGCTGGATGTGACTATGGGGAGCGAGTTTGTGCCGAATGACACTATGCTGATGTCGGATGGGGAAAGGTGTCATGTCATCACTGGTCCCAACATGGGTGGCAAGAGCTGTTACATCCGCCAGGTGGCGCTGATATGCATCATGGCTCAGATCGGGTGTTACGTGCCTGCTGACTCAGCGCGCCTCCACGTATTGGACTCGGTTCTGACGCGCATGGGAGCGGCCAATGACAGCCTGGTGCGCCGCACGTCCACGTTCTTGGAGGAGCTTGGGGAAGCTTCTGGGATCCTTCATCGGGCAACGGGTCGGTCGTTGGTGATAGTGGATGAGCTGGGTCGCGGCACCAGTACGCATGATGGGGTTGCCATCGCTTATGCCACCCTGCATGTAAGCCCGTCCCATCCATCCCGTGTGTGAGCTTATCTAGTGTTCTTGTCAAAGTGTTCTCGGCACGTTATGAAATCTCCTCCATGCCTTGTCTGATGCTTTTCTAAGCCACGCTCTGTTATCCATTGAATCCCCCACTGCCCCTCCACTCTCCCCCTCTGCCCTATCCACAGTACCTTTTATCCAAAGTGCGCTGCCTCACACTCTTCGTCACACACTATCCCGAAATCGCTCAGCTGGAAAAGGAGCTTCCTGGAGCGATGGGTAGCTTCCACATGTCCTTCCTCGCCTCCACTCCACCAGTTCCCCCTCCATCATCAGCATTACCAATTTCTGCTAGCGGACAAAAACAATTGTCAGATCCTGTGGCATCTGGCTCAGAAGAGGAAAGAGAGGCGAAGCCGGACCAGCAGGTCACCTTCTTGTACAAGCTCGTCCGTGGGGTTGCCAGTCGCAGTTTTGGCCTGAATGTAGCCCGCCTTGCTCAGGTGATAATTGCTGACGCGCAAGCAGGTTCATACATGGGTTTCTGCTGTGTAATTGTCCTTTTATTCCACGACCTCTTCTCATGGCCTTGGTAATGTGTGTGCAGGTGCCTGAGAGCGTCGTGCAACGAGCAGCTGCCATGGCTGCAAAGCTAGAGCATGATGTGCTGGAGCGCGGAAAGAGCAGGAAAAGCGAGGCTGCTTCCTTAAGGAGAGCCCGTGGAGACTTTTCTTCCCAATCAGTTCCTCCTCCAGATGAGGGAATCACCAAAGAGCCAAAGCTTCATGAAGCAGCCTGTCCAGAAACTGGAGTTGATCACCATGAAAACAGTCTCCAAGGGGAAGAGGAGTTGCTGAACACTGTCAAGCGGTGTATACTATTTGTTCAGGACGTTCAAGCAAGGGACACTGCACAGGAGGAGTCCATCATGCGGTTGCACTTTGATCAGATTCGTCAACTCCTGGAGTCTATTCGAAGGATAGAGCATTTTCGTACTGACATGTATTAGATGCGTTCGTCTTTTATGAGTTGGCGCTGGTTATTAATAATTCTGTAAGTATTGGTACAAGTAAGCAAGTTGAATAATCAAACGCACATGGAAGGATGATATGTTTAATTTTACAAGTCAGAAATGTCAGAAATTGTTGAGCCTTTCAAGGATCTCGTAGGTATCTTCGCTTCACATGGTTCCACCTAAGCTTCAGCTTCTAGGCAGACCTTCTTGGCGCCTGTCTCGTCCTCCGACGCCTCAGCCTTCCTTTTGGTCGAGATGGTGGCAGTCGTTTCGGTAGTGGAAGGGACCGCATCCGCAGAAGCAGCCACTTCAGAGTCCTTTTCAGCCTCGACTTCAACAACGTCACTGTCAGGTGTCGTCTCGTCATCCTTCTTCTCCTTGTCCTGGTCCGCGTTTGCGGAGGGCTTGACGTCCGTCGACGATTTTTCCTTTACCGAGTTCTTTGTTTCCTGCAGAAGTAGAGTCGTTGTTAACATCATTCTCGGGGTGAGACCAAATATAGCTTTCAAGTCGTGCTGAAAATCGAAGTACCTCTGAAGTCTTCTCAGTAGATTCAACAGCATCGACCTGCTTCTCCTCGACCTGCTGTGAAACAGCCTGATCGTTAACTTCGTTGTTGGAGCCGGCCATGGTCGCTGGTACGAAAATGTAGTGCTACGCACAGATTCTTGGCAGGCAAAGGCAACGTCTGAGCAGATGAGAGCTGGACTTGGTGATTGCGAGAGCGACTGACTGATCGGTTCCAACCATTCTCACATTTGTACTTGGCAGGGACTGGCAGTGGGCCATCACAAGCCGAAGCGCGGCGCTTGGGGGCTGTCGCGGAATCACCGGCGGGGACAGCGCTGGGCCTTGGGATTGCACTTGGGTTCGACGAGAATGGAGTTCTCGAGCCGCTTGATCATCTTGGGATTACTAATTGTGGAGCGCCAATTTCAAGGGAATTTGAAAACGTCACGAGAAATACATGACAAATTATGCGATGTTCTGTAGACGGTACATTTTCTAATTACAATAACTAATTGAAATCATCACAGTGATTCGGGGGCTAACTATGAAACCATCCTTGATATGTAAAGTAGGCCCATTCTATAGGATCAGTTGCCAATTTTACCCTAATTACTTCCAGCATTCTGGAATAAACAGGAAGAACTGCTTACAATTCCCTATCCTTCCACACAAGCTTGGCAGCTACAAGGTCTTCTAGGGCCAATCCTACCGACTTGAACACAGTAATTTTCTCATTAGCTCTCCTCCCGTGCACACGTCCAGAACATAGCTCGAAGAGGTCTCCTCCAATGTCCTCCACCAGTATAGCACCACTAGAGATAGGCTCAATAAGGTCCCCAGATCCTGTGATGGCGTCACCATCCTTGGAATCCACAAATATCGACCCTCTAGCTGCAATCATCACATCATCATCCGCTTCGCGCATATCCGGCCGAAAACCGCCAACCAAATCCACATGGGCTCCACGCTTCAACCACCGTCCACACACAAGCGGTTCTGTTGCAAGCGTGGCACAGGAGATAATATCCGCCAATGGCACCGCACGCTCTAGATCACCCACAACCGTAACACACACCCCACCTGTTTCTTGCCCTTCCAAAAAGCCCGACAAGGAAACTCCCTCCGGCTCAATAAGACGAAACCTTGGGTCGGAGGAGACCAGATTCTCAGCTGTCTGCTGGGCCTTGGTGAGAGTGCGGCCCCAGAGGAGCACGGAGCGGAGGGAGGGAGTGGCTGAGAGGTGGGCGAGGATGAGGTGGGGAGCAAGGTTGCCCATGCCCACCATAAGAAGCACCGTTGAGTCCTGGCTGCAGGGAGGTTAGCAATTGGGAGAGTGAGGAGGGGGAGCAGGGGGGGAATGCATCGGTGAAAACTGCTGCAGATGGAGCTAGATATGGGGGAAACAGGGGGAGATTGGGAGCATTGGTGATTGAGAAAAGGCGGGGAGAGAGGGTTGGGGAAGCGGGAAAGAAAGGGAGGTGGAAGGCGGAAGCAGTGATGTTTCATTTACCGTGCGAGGTAGTGAGCAGCGAGGGCAGAGGCGGCAGCGGTGCGGCGGAGCGTGATGGCCGTGCCGTCCATGAGGGCAAGGGGGGCGCCAGTGGCAGCAGAGGAGAGCAGGTAGCTCGCTGCCACCGATGGCAGGCCGTAACTGGCGTTGCCAGGGAACACTGTCGCCAGCTTCACACCCAGGAATGGCTCTGAAAGGGAAGAGGCACGGGAGCCATAGTGTAAGTTGCATGAGCAAAGAAGTGACTTGAGATCTCTCAACAATAAAAGTGACTCTGCCATGCAGCACTGAAGGAACTCTTTTGTGGATTCCAGCACAGCTGTACGGCTGTAATCCAGCATTCGCCCCGCCGTCACATTTGCTGTGGTTTCACATTTTCCTGCAGCATCCGTTGCCATACAGTACTCCTGGCTGAACCCCATCCACTCCACCTGCGCCTGTCCTCCATCTGCCCCCAATGGAATAAGACCCTCACCTTCCGTGCCACAATTCGAGTCCCAAGCGGGCATCACCAACAGCGTTCCGCCTGCCTGCTTCCTCCCCTCTGCTGCGTTCCTTCCTCCACTTCCTATCTCTCCTCCTTCTTCCCCTCCTTCTCCTCCTCTTTCCCCCGTCGCTTCCGGGTCTCCTGCTGCCCCAGACCTAGCATCCGTTGTGTCATTACCATCTCCATCCTCATCCGCAGCACGCTGACCAATGGTGTAGTGCTGGCGTGGCGGGGCGGCGATGCCACCTCCGCTACTGGAGGCGCGGAAGGCCTCGCGGAGATGCTCAATGAGTGCTGGGGGCGGGGGGGCCGGGGGGAGGAAGTGGGGGGAGAGGGGGGCATAGGCGGGGCAAGATGGGAAAGCGTGGAGGCGTGCTGAATCAGCGTGTGGGAAGTCAATAGGGGGAAGAGTAGACGAGGAGAGCGAGGCGTGGAAAAATGAATGTCGGTTCGTCGCTCACTGACTTGAGACACCGCTCACTCACGGGTTCCATCCAACCCCCCACCTCTCATCTCTCATCTTTCATCCCTCATCTCTCATCCATCGTTGATCGCCCGTCGCTCACCGTCGTACGGCAGCGCGCGGTGGACTTGCTCCGCGGTGAACACCCTCATGGCGGCCCTTGCGCTCGCCGCCGATCGCGCTCGCGCAAAGCGCACAGCGCAGCGTCTCTGGCCACCGAGTCTCACGTCCACGCCACGGCCTACGGATACGCGATTCGCGACGCGCAACGGATATCGCAGCGCCTCCTGCATTGCGTGCGCGCAGGATCTGTGCTATGTGCGGCACATGAGGTGCGCACGAGCTGTAGAGCAGCGAGGAAATGCAGTGGTGTGAAGTGTCAAAAATGTGGGGCTGCTTGGTGGAATTGAAATCCGCTTGAGTCTGCTTCAGTAAATTGTAACGTGACCAGAAGAATCTCATTAATTATCTGCATTTGTACTTTCGACAAGGTCGTATTTTCGACGCGGTTGGAGATGGTTACAGTGCGGTAAATGCTCGGTACTGAAGCCTCGACTCATGATCTTGTTCGCTTTACAACATTCACTTCTCCAATCTACACACAAATCAACAGCAGGAAACTCAAATTCCATTCTCAGCAGTAAGTATATTCATTCTCGGGCGCACGCCATTCGCGTCGCGCCTCGGCTCGGCATAGTTGATTCTCCGGAGAACAGAATCTGTCCGGTTCCAGCTTACACTCTCCTGAGTCCTGACTGTCGTCAAGGCATCCGCATTACATTACACCCCCGTTGAAGCGACAGTGGCGAAGAGTGACCTGACTTGAGCCGTCGCCCAGCGTCTCGCCGTTGGTTCTCCCATCGTCCATCGCCGTCGTCTCCGGAGTCGGAGAATGGCTGTAGCAGGTGAACACTTCGGTTGCTGCCCTGCTCCTCCCTTATGGCTGCAGCTGCACGTTTCGTTGCGCTGTCCTGCTCGTCCCTACCTATAGCTGCAGCTGCACGCTTCGTTCAGTTGTCCCTACCTATAGCTTCGTTCAACTGTATTTAATCGCCAGAACAATCCACCAGTGATTATTATCTCTCCCCATACGCATTTCCCTCTCGTTCCCTCAATTTCGCGTTTCCCGCGCAGAGCAGAGGTGGCTGACGTCAGCGTGGGGAGTCTGCCGGACGAAGGGGAGGACCGGCGGGAGATCGGGCACCTGGCGGTGTGGAGTGTGAGCTCCGCGAAACCCGGCAATGGCGTTGAGCTTCTGAGGGATGGCAAGGCGGACACGTTCTGGCAGTTAAGAATCGTAATATGCATTGGATTCTGATGCTTAGAATCAACTGAATCGATTTTTCAACGTGGACCCTGCAAACCCCATTTTTTTTTTTTTCTGGTACGTCTTGCTAAGTGCCAACATTTCTTCACGTGTGTGTGCAGATCAGATGGATCACAACCACACTTGGTGAACATTCAGTTTCAAAAAAAGGTCCGGTTGCAGGTAAGTGACTAGGTTTTGCAATAACATGGTTGCAATAATTGTGTGCTGTGCTCTGTTGCACTGTTGCTCTGTGGCCTGGCTTGACACCCACCCTCAACCCCCCACCACCCCTCCCCCCCCCAGCACGTGTCACTGCACGTGGATTTCAAGCTGGACGAGAGCTACACTCCCAACAAGGTGTCCATCCGAGCTGGCAACTCCTTCCACGACGTCAAGGTGGGTGGGTGTTTGGCAGGCAGTGCTGCTGACATGTTGTCATGCTCACATGTGCTCCGAGCAAAGATGGCAGTTATGCTTTGCATGTGCGCTGGACGGGAGCTACACACCTAACAAGGTGTCCATTCGAGCTGGCAACTCCTTCCACGACGTCAAGGTGGGTGGACTTCTCAGGGCGGGCAATGCTACTGATGGTGCCTGCATGGCAATGCTCATGGCGTTCCCAGTAGCATCTCAAATGGACATGCTGTTCATGCTCACAACGATGCTTCCCGTGACATCATCATGGCATTCGCATGATGGCATGCTCGCTATGATGCACCCCGTAGTGATGCTTCACTTGTGGTGCACATCTCACCAATGGCACTTGTGCCTCACATGTGATGCGTTGTACAATGGCAGGAGGTGAAGCTAGTAGAGATGAACGAGCCATCTGGGTGGGTGCACATACCGCTGCGACCCAGTGATGACAAGTGAGTCACCGTAAGGGGAATGGTTAGGCTCGCTGGTTACCCCGTTGTGACTGACCCGTGAATGACAGCTTAGTTGATTTGGAGGGATCTCAACAGCAAGTGCTTTATGCCTGTCCCTGTCCCTTTTTGAACCACAATCGCCAACCTTGCTTCTTCTTGCCGTCATGCATGCACCCCTCCCGTGCCCATCTGTGCCACCCCAGGGAGTACCTGCGAGCCTTCTACCTGCAGCTGGCGGTGATATCCAACCACCAGAACGGCCGTGACACACACATCAGGCAGATCAACATCTACGGCCCCCGCCAGTGAGTCATTGCTGACATGACGCCCATGCACAGTGTCCAGGCACTTCTACAGTACATCTTTTCGCCACCCAGATCAACATCTACAGCCCCTGCCAGTGAGTCATTGCCCACATCTTGCCCTTCCACAATGTCCATGCACCAGCACAGAACATCCTTTCTCGCTACCCTCATCATCATCTACAGTTCTCGCCAGTGAGCCCCAATCACGGCCTATGGCCTGCCACACAAATGCCTGATATTTCACCCCACATGTGGCCCACCTCTCTGTCCCTTGCAGGAATGTGGTGAGAGCAGTGGGGGTACCCATGGAGTTCAATACAGTGGAATTTGGCATGTATGCTGCTGTTAGGTAGTGCTGTGGCCATCGAGAGAACACTTGATAACGACACACCTGGCTGTGCATATTGTGGGTTGTGCATATCTGTTCGCTATTTCAGGTCCAGGCATCTTATCAATACCCTTGCAGTATCTGGTGAAATTTTGCAATTTTTGTGCCAGTAGTGACAGCTCACTAATCACCAAGCAGCACTGAGATACAGTGGGTATATCCAGCAATAACCTTGTCCCCAAAATGGTCTTACCACTCTTGCCTCGTCCCAACAGTCACCCTGTCCCAACAGCAGCATCGTCCTACTCTCACTCCTATCCAGCCCAACACGTCCACAGAAGCACAGCACAGCACACCCTCTCGCACCAATCCCATAGTTACCACTATGCCTCACCTTATCTTCATCCCTTCTCACCCGCAACTAGTTTGCTTCGCTCCCTAACCGCTTCACTCTTCGAGCCCCACTAGGTCATCGAGCAGCATTGGCGAACCACAGGCGGCTGCCCCGCCCCGCCCCTTCCACCCCCGGCCCCACAATCTCACGCCTCAACACCCCCTCCTCGCTGCCCCCTGCTCCCAAACCAGAAGCAGGGTTAGTACTCGCACCAGCGTTGGTTCCATTAGCAGCACCGGATACAGCACCAGTCGGAGCGGAAGCATCAGGAGGGGGTGAGCGGGGAGCAAGGGGGCGGGGGGCGGCCGGGGTGAGGGCGAGTGGGAGGGATGTGGCGGGGGAGGGGATGGAGGAGGAGGGATGCTGCAGAGGCATGGTGGGGTGGAGTGGGAGTGTGGCGATGATGGCATGGGCGTTGCTTCTCAGGAACACGTGGTCTGGTCCTTCCATGCCAAACAACTGGTCACAGGAAAGAGGGGGAGACGGGAAGGCACGGTGTTAGAACAAATGTGCGTAGTGGCGCGCAACTTTGATGACAGCTCCATCAGTGTGCACTTGCGCTCAGAAATACATGGTCCGATCCCTCCGTGCCAAACAGCTGCTTGCGGGAAGGGAAACGGAAAGATGGCAGGGATGCATGTAGTGTCCTGTCAGCATTCGAAAGGGATTCGGTGAGATGCGGGCCTTGGCGGTGGCACACGTGAGATGCGGGCCTTGGCGGTGGCACACGTGAGATGCGGGCCTTGGCGTTGGCACACGGAACACTGGTGAACCTTGAGAGTTCTCACCAGATCGAATGGCAAGGGCAAACCCTCGAATTGACTTTTGAGTCGACTCAAAAGTCACCTCAGATCGAATGGCAATGGCAAACCCTCGAATTTGGACGCACACATGAGGCGGGCGAGGAGGCAAAGGAGGACAGACGAAGCCAAGGCAAACACGAACCTGGTAAGACAAGGCTACACAAAGAACAGTCCCATACACGTACCTGGGGCTTGGAGGCAATGAGTTGGTCCAGCGACCCGTAGAGAGGCTCATAATGAGCCCAAGTTAATGGGGCGAGCAGGCGTGCAAGGCGCGGCGCAACAGTGGAGGAGATGAGGGCCTTGGCGCCCCTGTCCGCTGAGAGTGTTCGCACGATGCACGTCAGCAGCGCCCTCTCGTCCTTCAACTGCGCTCCCGGGGGCAACGGCGGCATCATGGGCTCGGGGCGTGCGGCCGGTGGTGCTGCGAGGGGTGCGGGTGCTGCATCATCTGCTGCTGCTGCTGGTGGTGGTGTCGTGTCGATGCTAGCTGGTGCGGCACCCTCTGTTTTCTCTCCCCCACTGCTCCCTGCTGCCAGCACCGCCGACGCAGGCAGAGGTTCAATCCCAACTTTCCCTTCGATCCCCGCTTGACCTCCCGCGTTTGACTCTGCTGCACCTGAGGCCTCCCCGCTTGGGCGTTCCGGCACGTATGCCACGCCCCCCAACCCCACATCCACCCCTCGGGGCGGCGACCGCTGCGTGATGGGACTGGCTGCGAGCTTCCGAGGGGCAGCAGCAGCAGCAGCAGCTTTAGTGCCAGGGGTATCAGTAGCAGGGGTTTCAGAAGCAGGGATATGAGTGGCAGAGGAGGCAGCAGCAGCGCTGATCGGGAGAGACTGGCCTGCATTGCTGTTGCTGTTGCTCATACTGGTGCTGGCGCCAGCATTGCTGTTGCTAGTACTGGAAGAGCCATGACTGGAAAAGCTGTCTCTCGGAGTAGCATCAGCAACACTACCACTGCCCATGTGCCCATTAGCATGCCCGCCTACTGGGGCTTGATCACCCGTGCTGCTGCTGCCACCGCTCTCCCTACCCTTCTCCCCTGTGTCTCCAGTGTTGTTGCTGCTACTTGGCCCATTGCTAGTCCCAGCACTAAAACCAAGGCTGCTCGCATGCTGCTGCTGCTGGGATGAGGTGGGGTCAAGGGGGAGAGGCTGGTTGCTCATGGGGTGGGTGATGTGATGCATCACCACCGCTTGCTGCTGCTGCTGCTGCTGCTGCTGCTGCTGCTGCTGCTGCTGCTGCTGCTGCTGCTGCTGCTGCTGCTGCTGCTGCTGCTGCTGCTGCTGCTGCTGCTGACTTGGCTGTTGCCCCTGCGGTTTTGGTGCCTGCGCATGTGCTTGCCCCTGCCCCTGATTCTGCATGTGCAGCTGGTTCTGCTCTGGTAACCCTGTAACCGCAATCCCTGTCTGCTGCACCCCTGCTGCCTGTAATCCTTGCCCTTGCATACCAGCAGGTGGGTAGGCGGCAGGCGGGAGAGTGGAGGGGTGTGGATGCAGAGGATGCAGGGCTGGGGGAGAGGCGGAGTGAGGAACAAGCATAGGCACGGGTTGCATGGGTGTGGGGCCAGGTTGTATGGGTGTGGGGACGGTTTGCATGGGTGCAGCGTAGAAGGGGTGGGGCATGTGTGGGCGGATGAGGTAGGCATGAGGCGCCATGGGCGGGTGGACCTGTCCTGACTGTGCCGCCGCTGCTTCGCTCTGTGGGGGAAAGCACGGGGAAAGACAGGAAAAAAAGGGGGGAGAGAGAGACAAGGTGAAGGGTGCAGCGTAGAAGGGGTGGGGCATGTGTGGGTGGATGAGGTAGGCGTGTGGCGCCATGGGCGGGTGGGCCTGACCTGTCTGTGCTGCTGCTGCTTCGTTCTGTGGGGGAAAACATGGGAGACGAGGAGAGAGGGAGACAGAATTAGACAGGAATGGGGGCAGGATAGGAGTGGGGGAAAGAAAGAAAAACAGGAAAAGGGGCAGGATAGGAGACGGAGAAACAGAGAATAAGGAATGGAGAAGGGGAGAATGAGATGGAATGGAGGAGTGGAGGGAGTGATGGAGAGAACAGAGGAACAGGAAAACAGGAGCAGGACTTGGCTACTTCCTAAGCTCCTCGTATCGTCGCATGAACCTCGCTTCCCATTGCTTGGCCCATGGCTTGACTCAACCATTGCCTTGTCCCATGATCCATGAACCTCACCTTTCCGTCCTTGCTGCCACCAGACCCACCCGCGCCACCCAACGCTACCCCAGCTCCTTGCACAACCCCTCCTGCTTCTCTTCCTGCACCCGTGCCCCCTGCACCGCTCCCTCCTGATGCCCCCAGAGCGCCTGCTGCTGCTGCTGCTGCTGCTACTGCTGCTGCCTGCCCTCCTGCAATCGCTGTGCCTCCTGCATTCCCTGTGCCTCCTGCTGTGCCAACACCCGCTGCTCCTGCTCCTGTTGCCGTGCCTGCACCCGGAGCAGCGGCAGGGAGGGCGCCGAGCCTGGAGCGCAGGTCCGTGTTCTCCATGTGCAGGCGCTGCATCAGCTGCATGTGGTACCGCTCACTCTCCGCCAGCTGGTGGGGAGAGAGGGTGGAAACGGCAGGGGGAAGGTGGGGAAGGAGTTGGAAAAAACGGTTTGCAGGTCATGTGAGCATCACCACAAACATGCTGCATCAGCTGCATGTGGTACCGCTCGCTCGCTCTCCGCCAGCTGTTGTTTCGTGGGGGGGGGGAGGAGACGGCAGGCGGAAGGAGTTGGAAAAAACGGTTTGCATGTCATGTGAGCATCACCACGAACACGCTGCATCAGCTGCATGTGGTACCGCTCGCTCGCTCTCCGCCAGCTGGTGTTTCGTGGGGGGGGGGGAGGAAGGGGTGGGAGTGCGAGCAGAGAGATATAATGCACGCCACACATCTTATTGAAAACAATGAGGATACCAACCCACCTGCTGTCTGAGCTGGCGAGTGACAGCAAACAGGCGATTGGCGGCAAACAGGCGATTGGCGGCAAACAGGCGATTGGCGGCAAACAGGCGATTGGCGGCAAACAGGCAATTGGCGGCAAACAGGCAATTGGTGGCAAACAGGCGATTGGCAGCAAACAGGCAATTGGCAGCAAACAGGCAATTGGCGGCAAACAGGCACCAACCTACCTGCTGCCTGAGCTGGTGCGTGACGGCAAAGAGATGGTGGCACTGGTCCGTGCGCTCCCTGAGCTGTTGAGGCGCATCGAGAACACCCAACCAACCAACCCACTCACTCACCCACCCACCTGCTGCCTGAGTTGGTGCGTGACAGCAAACAGGTGGTGGCACTGGTCCGTGCGCTCCCTGAGCTCGCCATGCAGGCTCTGATTGGCTGCTGTGATGGCTGCCACGTGGGCCTCCATGTCCTGCCCGTGCGCCGCCCACCCCTGCGCCTCCTTCACCGCGTCCTCTTTCTGCCACAACTCCTCCTGCACCAGCCGCAGCTGGTTCTGAGTGTCTCTCAGGCGCTGCTCCGCGTCAGCCACTTGGCTCTGGAGCCTCTCCATCTGCGCGCCCATCTCTGCTCTCTCCACCTCCCTCTGACTCGCCTGCGCCTTGCTCTCCGCCACTGCCCCGTCCCGCTCGCGCCTGCAGTGACGTGGGGTGGAGGGAGGAGGGGAAGAAAGGGAGGAATGAGTAACTCGCCTCCCTCCGCCTCCCTCTGACTCGCCTGCGCCTTGCTCTCCGCCACTGCCCAGTCCAAGGGAGGAATATCGTAAGGAGCAGCAGCAGAAAGCGTTCCGCGTAGCTTGTGGCATGCAAGGGCATGCAGGCGATGTAGGAGGAGGAAGAGGGAGCAGAAGGGGAGGGCAACAGCAATAACAAGCAATAACCGCAATAACACTGCTCATTTCTGTTCCCCTTCCTGGACATACCGCCCGCCCAGCCCCCTCACTGCAAGGTAGGTCGCACACAAACACACACACTGCTCAACAACCACTCTCACCTCAAGGCTGCCACTTCGGAGTTCTTCTCTCGAATAACACCTTCCTTCTGCCACACCTGCCAAAGTCCAGACACCCACCGGACATCAGGGAAGCAACCCGAATGCATTTCTTGGAAATATGCGTCTCGAAGTGTGGTGTGAAGTATGAGAGTAAACCGTGTTCAATGAGCCCCCCTCTCACCCGTTCCTTCATCTCGTTCTGGTGTGCGGCCACCTGCTGCTCCGCCTCTTCCGCCCTCTCCTTCACTCGCTGCATCTCCTCCTCCTTGCTCCTCACCTCTTCCAGTGCGCCCGCCAGTTGACTCTGCGGAGGAGCGGGGTGAGTAGGGAGGATGGGGGCGGAAGGGGGGGAGGAAGGGAGAGGGGGGGGAAGGCGGGAAGGACGTGGTTTGACCATCACTATAATGAGCAGAACACGCACATTTGATTTGCGGATTGTGTGCTGCATTCGACTTGAAAGGGCCACCAGGGGGAAAAAGCGAGGTAGGGAGGGTGGTGGCAAGGGGAAGGACTGGGAGAAGGGGAAGGTTGGGGGGATGGGGGGAAGGGGAAGAACGAGGACCCGCAAGTTGCCCCCCCACCTTGAGCGATGCCTCCGCCGCCAGCAGCTGCTGCCTCTCCGCGTCAAACTCCGCGCGCGCCCTCCCCACCTCCACGCGCGCCACAAGAGCCGCTGCGCGCGCCACCTCAGCGCGGATCGCTGCCTCGCGCGCGGCTTCCGCTTCCGCCAGCAGCGCGCGCAGCTCCGCCTCCCCCAGCGCCAGCAGCGCGCGCCCCTCGTCTTCCACGTTGCGCACGTCCTTATGATTGGCTCCTCTGGCTGGTGAGACTCCCGTGCTGGGCGTGGCGATGGCGGCTATATCCACCTGTCTGTCTGCCTCCCCTCCGTCTACCTGTACCTCCTTCTCCTCCTCTGATTGCTCCGCTTGCTCCTGCTGCGATTGCTGCGACTGCTGCTCGTGCTCCTCCTGCTCCTGCTCCTGCTCCTGCTGCTGTTCAAACTGTTGCTGCGGCTGCTGGCTGTTGAAATTGTCGTTCTCTTGGCGATCCACTGCAGGAGACACATCTTCGCCCTGTCCGTTGCTCGAAGTATAGGGTTGCTGCTCGTGCTGCGTGTGCTGCTGACTTGCAACCTCCGCTTCTTGCTGCTGTTGCTGTTGCTCTGCCTGCTGCTGCGCCTGCAGTTGACCGTTATAATCGTGAGGTTGCTCCTGCATCTGTTGCTGCTGCTGCCTTCGTGTTTGGTTGTCCTCCTGCTCACACGAACGGGCAGCAGAGACACGAACCGTAAGGATGTTGGTATGTTTGGTATGCGTCATGCTCCCCAATCCTGTTGCATGATGTGTCCTGCAAGATCGTTACAAGGCAAGAAGAACCACGAATCCTACGGCTGGAAATTAATCAAGCTATAAACACGATAGTACAGCGATGCCGCAGGACCAACGACCGACGGAACTTCCAAGTCGATTCGAAACGGGCCTACGAAATATCGCACGTGCCACGACCGACGGAACGAACCTCCTGCGACAAACTCGACGACGTGCTGCTGCCGCTCGCGTGCGACTGCCGCACGCCCGTCGCTTCGCCGTTTTCTAAACCCCCAGTCGGCCCGGACCCTAAGCCGGGCCCTGAGGCGGAACCATCCAGATTTTGCGCCGCCTGCCCGTAAGGTCTGCTGTTCCGCCCACGCCCTCTGTACTGCGGCAGCTGGTAGACCTGCCGCGGAGGTCCCCCTCCGCCACTTCCCCCTCCACCTCCCCCTCCGCCTCCCCCTCCCCCTCCCCCTCCCCCTCCGCTGGTGCTCCCCTTTCCTCCCCCGTCCCCGCGGCCGTAGGCACTGTTCATCCGTCCATATGCTCCTCCTCCTCCTCCGCCGCCGCCGCCGCCGCCGCCGCCGCCGGGTCGGTAGTATCCAGGCGGGATCTGCTCCTGAGAGGGACCCCCTATTCCGCGCATCGCCATCCCGGGAATCCCGGAACCGCCGCCTGAACCCATGGGTCCTCCGGGATAATTCTGCATGCCGTCCGGAATTCCTTTCGGTTGCGAGTATACGTCGGAATTTGTGACTCTACCGAGGTGAATATTCGGATCGCTGACAATTCGCCAGACTTCTCTTCGCCTACCGCCCGGCATGTTACCCAGCGGGTTACCACCACCGGGACCACCGGTCGGGCCGCCTCCTGGCGGCATGCCATAGGAATTCATGACGGCCCGCGAAAATTCTAACAAACGGCGGGATGTGATGTATACGATGATCTCTCCCCGGGTAAATTGGCTCTCTCTCCTAGCGTAAAGTGGCTCTGTCTTTTCGTGTAAAGTGGTGATCTATCTTCGAGTCAGAAGATCTGCGAGGTGATCTGAGGTGACGCGAGCCTCGCGTCTGCTCTGATCCGAATCTCGTGAACTCGGGACGATTGTTACCGAGTAAAGTGAAAAGCGACGAAACTAGATTACGCGCTTTGCAAGTAATCGTCTAGACTAATTATAGTTCTTACGAACCATCGGGTCGCCTAACATCTAGCTACTACGGCTTGAGCAGCCGAGGCTTTGGTGTGGCTTGACTTTCTGGCCTTGCCGGTAGGCAAATGATTCCCACCTAGCCTAGTTGTGTTGTGTTCGGTCCTTCATAGAATGGATCAGATCAGACTTGAGCAAAGCAGAGAACAAAAACACCACACCACAGGGAAAGGGAAAGTTTGAGCATGCGAAATCGAACGACATTTACACGACGATCGTCGACTGGGTATCCACCTCGTTGCGAAAGGCATTTCGATAACTTTGAGGGGACCTGATCGTTGGGCTTCGGGTGGGGTTCCCCACCCACCCCAGCAAACCGCCAGCCACCAGCCATGTGCGCCACGTGCCAGTGCTTGTGCTTTTGTTGAAGGGGCCGTATTTAACTTTCTTTTCGCGAACCTAGCCAATTGATTAAGCTTATGCAGTCCCCAATCTCAACGCTTAGACTGTATATTGATCCGGTGTACTTCTGCAACTTTTCCAGACAGGAGTGCCGCGCTCTGCACTGCTCGAGGCAAGCCGAACCGAGCTCAATTGCCGCCACTTTCATCCCTCGAAGTTCCCGAATTTCCTCTCTATTTCGAAGCTCCACTGGCGTCTTTATTCAATATCCCACTTCGCTACGCTAGACCGTGCTATTATTGCTCGGCTACCATCGCTCGGGATACCGTCGCTCGGGATACCGTCGTTCAGTCTAGTGTCGCTCGGGCTGCCGTCGTCGCTCACCGGATACCATGCCGGGAGCATCACTCGCCACTAGCCTGAGTCTGTTCCAGAGGGGAATGGTCATTCAGGAACGCGCGATGACGCTTCGTCCTTTACGAAGCGCGTCGGGTCTTCGATGTGTTTTCGTCGGCGAGCCGATCGTACCTGACCGTCAGCGTCGTAGTAATGCTAGCTATCTCCATAGGACCCTGCTGATAAGCATCGGCACTCTCGCCTTACTATCTCGCGAGCCGTGCGCTGCTTACTCCCGAACGAACTTCCGTAGTTCGCATTCTGCATCACGGAGTGAACGAGAATCATATCGTACTCGCTACTGCGTTATTTAGCAGAACGGAACTGGCAAACTTGGATCGCTTTGTGACGAAATCAAGCGTTCCTAAGCCAGACATTCTCAAGCCAAGGCAGCGATGGGTCTGCCACTGATCCTCCGCGTCTTGCCGTGGCTGACCGTGTTCCTTTCCGTGCTGCTGGCACGTCCGGCCTGGAGCCTCCCGCCTCCACTCCGAACCGCAATCCGAGGTCCGGGACAGGCTCGGTACTCGGCATGCGACACAGGCAAGGGCCGCGCGGTGCTGTACAACTGCGGGCTGCAAGTGGGCAACGCGACGGCCGGCATAGCTTCGCTGCATGACGTGCCGTCCGCGCAGAAGTGAGTTCTTAGTTCTATCCATGAGAGCCGACGCGCGTCCATGCATGGGTGCCGAGACGCGTCCTTCCATGGGTGCGAAAGAGAATGCCCCGCTACCAAAAGTGACAGTACGCTGCAAACAGATCCTCTCTGATGTCGTACCTTGGATGATGTGGTGAGTCGAGTAAAAATTGTGTTGTGACAGTACAATGCTGACACCTCTCCTCTGCTGTCGTCCCTTGGAGGAAGGGGGATGTCTGCCTGCCAGGACAATACTCAAGCACGTATCACTCCTCTGGCCCCGCCTGACACCCCTGTCGTTGGAAAATGTTACCACATCGCTAGTTTGATTTCCCTAAAATATCCGCGATATTGTCAAGCTCCTTTATTCCGTGTCATCTCATTTGCTGTCCACTATCATCCCGTGTCCACTCCCATGTCCTGCGTGCCACGCCGTCTCCTCTCCCCATACCTGTTGGCTCCCGCGCCAGCTACTTGGTAAAGCTTCGGCCAGATGTGCCAGCGAGCCGGGTGGACGAGATATGCGACCTGGCGGAGAGCAGCAACAGCACGCTCTACACAGGCACATGCCTCAAACGGTGCGTGCCAGTGCCCTTTTGTTTACTGAAAATGGTGGCTCTTCTCCTTCTTTTCCTATCCTACTGCCGCCTTATCATCCCGGTGCTCCGTAGCAACACATTGTTGCATGCACGCTCCAGGTGCAGCGTGCGCATGCCCATGCTCTTGTTCGTGCTCATCCCATATCTATATCCTTACCTCGTGCTCATTGGCATGCTCGTCCGTTCCTCTCAGGCCAGCTGCCGCTGCTCGCATGCATCTCATCACTTAACCCTCACCTCACATGCCCTTCCCTCTTCCCCTCTCCCCGTCCACCAGATTCAAGGCGCTGTTCAACGGAATGCTGATGAGCATATCAGGCCAGTCGCTGCTGCTGGCGCCTATGCCATCCCATCTCTCACCCCTCACTGACATGCCGCACCCCCCCTCCCCCCTCCACCAGCTTCAAGGCGTTGTGCAACGGCATGCTGATGAGCATATCGGGCCAGTCGCTGCTGGCCCTGCTGGCATGTCACATGTGATTCCATCTCTCACCCTCACATGCGCGGCACCCCCCTCCTTCCCCTCCCCCTCCCCTCCCCCTCCCCCAACCAGCTTCAAGGCGTTGTTCAACGGGATGTTGATGAGCATATCAGGCCAGTCGCTGCTGGCACTGCTGGACGCCGAGTCCGCCCTCGTGCAGTTCGTTGAGGTCGAGGGCCACGCCCTCATCGCTTCTGCTCCACCTCCTTCCGCTGCTGCTGTTGCTGCTGCTGCTGCCGCTGCAGCTGCCTCTACTAGTATTGCCACAACCACCGCTGGCGCCGATGCCACTGCTGCTGATGATGGAGATGCGTCTGGTGGTGGTCTTGATGGGTCATCTTCTAACAGTTCGGCTGTTCTAGCATCCGCATCTCTGGTCACGCGCACTCAGGTCCGTTCATAAAGGAAGGAGGAAGGAACAACCGAGCATGCTATCTGTTGCTTCCTGCAGTATCCGCTCTGACTAGCCAAAGCGTATCACATTTTCATATATGCGCGCACTCGCGCCTCGCCTCGCCTTCCACCGTCACTCACCCTTGTCCTCCTTCCAATCCCCTCCTACCCATACCTCCTTCCTCCCCACCCTCCGATCCCTGCAGCGCAAGCCACTGTCATGGCGGCTGGACCGCATAGACCAGCGGCCAGACGCGCCTCCCCTGAATGGCGCCTACTCTTGAGTCGACTCAGAAATCAATCTTCTCTCCTCTACCTCCTCGCATTTCCCCACCCGCCCATCCCTCCAGCGCAAGCCCCTCTCGTGGGGGCTGGACCGCATAGACCAGCGGCCAGACGCGCCTCCCCTGAATGGCGCCTACTCTTGAGTCGACTCAGAAATCAATCTTCTCTCCTCTACCTCCTCGCATTTCCCCACCCGCCCATCCCTCCAGCGCAAGCCCCTCTCGTGGGGGCTGGACCGCATAGACCAGCGCCCAGGCGCGCCTGCCCTGGATGGCGCCTACTCCTATCCCGCCTCTGCGGGTGCAGGCGTGCACGTCTATGTGGTGGACACGGTGCGTTGCCAGCCAGGGCCACAGTCCTCGGTCCTTGCACTGGGGTCTGCACTGGTGGGGTCTGGATTAGTTGGGTCAGGATTAGTTGGGTCTGGATTAGTTGGTTCTGGATTAGTTGGGTCTGGATTAGCTTTTTGTGCTTTCGCTCTGCATCAACCGCACCTCTCTTCTTGCTGTCCTCGCTTTCTGTTCCTCCTGCTCCCCATTTTTCTTTTTTTGTGCCCCTTTGTTAACCCCTTTCCCTTTTTCTCCCCGTTCCCCATTTCCCATGGTCCGGGTCTACCTTCTTCCTCTGCAGGGCGTGCGTGCGCCGCTCCCACAAAGACTTCCACGTCTCAGACGGCCAGCTCAACCTTTTCTTCTCACCCCTGAAATCACTTTTGAGAATTCTCAAAAGTGATTCCAAAAATGAGAATTCTCAAAAGTGATTTCAAAAATTAGAATACTCAAAAGTGATTTCAAAAATGAGAATTCTCAAAACTGATTTCAAAAATGAGAATTTTCAAAAGTGATTTCAAAAATGAGAATTCTCAAAAGTGATTTTAAAAATGAGAATTCTCAAAAGTGATTTCAAAAATGAGAATTCTCAAAAGTGATTTAAAAAATGAGAATTCTCATAAGTGATTGACTTCCACGTCTCAGACGGCCAGCTCAACCTTTTTTTATCAACCCCGTTCCTCTCCATTGTCCCCTGCTGTCCCTCCCTCTATCCCCCACGTCGCCACTGTCTGTCCCTCCACCCCTGCAGGGCGTGCGGTGCTCCCACAGCGACTTTTACTTCTCAGACGGCCGAATCAACCCCGCCACGCGCCGCCCTGCGTCTCGCTGCCTGCCGGGAGTGGACACGGTGGGGGATGGGCGCGGGCAGGGCATGGCGGACTGCAACGGCCATGGCACCCACTGTGCTGGTAGGCCGTGAGGGGACGTGCAGTGCAGTGCAGTGAGGAGCATTTCGGTAACGGGGCCAGTTGGGTGAGGTGGTATCCTGTGCCCTGCACTCCCTCCCTGCTGCCTGCTGCCTGCCTGGAGTGGACACGGCGGGGGATGGGCGCGGGCAGGGCATGGCAGACTGCAATGGTCACGGCCTCCACTGCGCTGGTAGGCCGTGAGGGATGGTGTGCAGTGCACTACACTACGAGGTGGCGAACCGCGCCTTTATCCACTTGGGACGCAGTGCAGAATGGACTGTGCGGGCAACGGGACCTTCCAGGACAATCTATTACCTCACGACTCCTCCTGTTCCTGTGTCTTCTCCCCTATTACAGGCACTGTAGCTGGACCTGTAAGCGGGGTGGCAAAGAGCGCCTTCATCCACCCGGTGCGCACCATGGCCTGTGCGGGCAACGGGGCCTTGGGGGACATCCAACTCCCTCTCTGTTTGACCCTCTTGTACTGTCCCCCCTCAGGCACCGTGGCTGGATTAGTAAGCGGAGTAGCCAAGAGCGCGTTCATCCACCCAGTGCGCACCATGGCCTGTGCGGGCAACGGCGCCTTTGGGGACATCCTGGAGGGGCTGGACTGGATCGCTCTTTGCCTCCTCCCTCCTTTTGCTTGCTCCCCCTCTCACAGGCACGGTAGCAGGCCTGCTGAGCGGAGTAGCAAAGAGCGCGTTCATCCATCCAGTGCGCACCATGGCCTGTGCGGGCAACGGGGCATTCGGGGACATCCTGGAGGGGTTGGACTGGATCGCCCGCCACTACCAGGCGCCCGCTGTGGTCTCCATGAGCATCACCATGGCCACCTCCGCTAGTCTTGATGCTGCTCTCAAGGAACTTGTTGAGAAGACAGCCATTACTGTGGTGAGTGAGCGGTGTTGTGGGGGGTGTGGCAGCTGGTGACTGCAGTGCCCGCTGTGGTGTCCATGTCCATCACCATGGCCACCTCCGCTAGTCTTGACGCAGCGCTGAAAGAGCTGGTGGAGATGACGGTGATTACGGTGGTGAGTGGGGGGCATGGGTGGGGGGCATGGAAAGTGGGAGATTTCTGGGGGGGGTATGGAAAGTGGGACATTTCTGGGGGGGGTATGGAAAGTGGGAGATTTCTGGGGGGGGGTATGGAAAGTGGGAGATTTCTGGGGGGGGTATGAAAAGTGGGAGATTTCTGGGGGGGGTATGGAAAGTGGGAGATTTCTGGGGGGGATATGGAAAGTGGGAGATTTCTGGGGGGGGTATGGAAAGTGGGAGATTTCTGGGGGGGGTATGGAAAGTGGGAGATTTCTGGGGGGGTTATGGAAAGTGGGAGATTTCTGGGGGGGGTATGAAAAGTGGGAGATTTCTGGGGGGGTATGGAAAGTGGGAGATTATTGTGGGACATGGGGGGGCGCTGCTGTGAGGAGCTGTGGTGCTTACGCTTAAAGAGTTGAATGTGACAACAGCGAGGGGAGAGGAGCCCTCTGGTTCTAAGTTCAGTGCCTTCCTGCTCTTTCTCTCTCGCCCCCCCAGGTGGCAGCAGCAGGAAACTTCTTCTCGCTTGCATGCAACTACTCACCAGCGGACAGTGATGACGTGATAGCAGTGGCATCCAGCACCAGCTCTGATACTATGAGCTGGTTCTCCAACTACGGCTCCTGCACCGACATCTTCGCACCAGTGAGCCCTCCTTTAGTCCGGCATTTTCTTTTCAAGTCTGAGAACCTTCCAATAATCGCTCATGTGCCGGCCCAGTCAATGCATCGAGCCTTGCCTTGCCGTTTCAGCACTGGAAAAATCCAGAAATTACACTGACACCTTTCCCCTGCTAGGCAAAATTCTCTTCTGATGTCTTTATGAATCATAACTGTGTATGTGTGTTTGTGCCGTGCATGCATGTGCACTCCCAGGGGGATGAGATTGTGAGTGCGGGGTCGGCATCAGACACTGCAATGGCAACCATGTCCGGGACATCCATGGCATGCCCGCACGTGGTATGTGCATCTGCAAACGTGCCATGGCGCGGCATGGCATGGCATGGCATCGCATGCCTGGATGTGGACTGTATGTGCGTCACCTTTCCAGGCCTCAGAGCTACATCATTTGCGTGTCATGGCATGGCATGCCATACCATGTCATCATGTGCACAGGGAGCGTGAGTGCAAAACCCCATGTGTAGAAGCACCTCATTTTTTTGGGCCACCAACTTCGTACCCTCCATGTCTTGGCGCCCTCTTCTGCTTCCCATCCCCGTCCCCCATCCCTTTCGTCTCCCCGTCACCAGTCAGGAGCAGCAGCTCTATACCTGTCCATGCAGCCGTCCGCCCGCCCCAGGGACGTGCGCAAGGCACTGTACGACACGGCGTACCAGAAGGCAGTGCAGGCAGTGAAGCCCAGCACGGTGCCGCGCCTGCTGTCCGTCAACTTCCGCCCCCTGCTCGTGGATGTGGCCCCACGCTCCTTCCTCTCCATGCTTGAGGGCGCCACTGCACGCATCAAGGTGCTGCTGCTCAAGGCGCCTGGAGCCGATGTGGTGTTTACTGCCTCAGCTGCTGATGCCAGTGTTGGTGAGTCGGTTGTTGTGACGGGGCGAGCTGGTATTGCTTGTTACGCGCTCCTTCCTCTCCATTCTTGAAGGGGCAAGTGCACGCATCAAGGTGCTGCTCATGTGGTCTTCACTGCGACTGCTGATGATTCGAGTGTTGGTGAGTGGGTCTGAGTGGGTCGGTGTGATGGGGTGAGCCGTGTGTGTATCCCTCTTCTCATCGACCCATCTCTTCCTCACGAGCCATGGTGTCCTCAACTCTCCCCCTTTTCTTTCCTCCCCCTACCTCTACCCCCCCCCCCCTCCCCCCCCCCGATTCAATGTGGACCGCCCTTCCTTGTGCATCCCGTCATCAGCGTCCTTCTCGCCGCCACGCCTCACCTTCCCTGCGCGCCGCACACCAGCCGCACAATACATCACCATCCAACTCGCCTACTCGCCCAGTAAGTCCCACTCTCTGAACTGTCACACGAGTGCAGTCAGTTTTCTGCTGTCTTCCTTCCATTCCTTCCATTTCACCCCACCCCTTGTCTCGCTCACTTTGTCCCTCCTCTTCGTCCTTCCTTCCTTGCCCTCCGCCCTGCCACACCCCTCCCTGCCACACCCCACCCTGCCACACCCCACCCTGCCCCCTGCCACACCCCACCCTGCCCCCTGCCACACCCCGCCCCACCTCACCCCACCCTGCAGAGTACCTGGATCGAGCCACGCTGCTGGCCTTCACCTTCACCAGCAAGGACTCCGCCTTTGGGGCATCCCTGGAAGGATATGCCGTGGCACTCGACAAAGGTGCGTGCTGGAGAGGGGAGCACGAGGGGCAACGGGAAGTGGGGAAGGGGTGGAATCTGAGTCGCCTTTGGAGCTGCAATCCCCCTGCAATGCTGACTCCTTGTTTGCCAGCCTCACAGGTTGCGGATGGTATGCGTGCAATGCGATCTCGCACCCTCACACTTCCCCCTCCATGCCTTCCATGCCTCCTCCTCACAGATGTGTGCAAGGCACCGTGTGGGCAGAGTGTGCGTGGAGCAGCCCAAGGTGGTGCCATCGCTGCCCTTCTACTATTGAGGATGACAGCACGCACTGCTGTGACAGCTCACTCTCTCCCACACCCACCCTCTTATTCCTGCAATCCGCCCTCCCTCCTGTGCAGATGTATGCAAGGCGCTGTGCGGGCAGAGCGTGGAGCAGCCTAAAGTGGTGCCAGCACTGCCCTTCTACTACGAGGATGACAACAGCAGCTAAAGCGTGCAGGGACTGCTCACTCACACTCCCCCACACACACCCTCTCATTCTTGCACCCATGCAGATGTGTGCAAGGCGCCGTGTGGGCAGAGTGTGGAGCAGCCCAAGGTGGTGCCGGCGCTGCCCTTCTATTACGAGGATGACAGCACGCACTACCGTGACCTGTACAACGCCAAGCTCGACAAGTGCCATGACACGGGGCCTGATGTGGTCTTCCAATACACGCCACCCCAGAACATGGTGAGTAGGGGTGACCTGCAAATACCCTAGCTGATTGTCTAGTTCAGTAAGGAATCACTACACAACGCCCTACCACATGGTGAGCACATGGTCTAGTGCCATTGCTGCCCTTTTACTACGAGGATGACAACACGCACTACCGTGACCTGTACAATGCCAAGCTCGACAAGTGCCATGACACGGGGCCCGATGTGGTCTTCCAATACACCGGGTGAGTGAGGTGCTCTCGCACATGGTGAGTGAGGTGCTCTCGCACATGGTGAGTGAGGTGCTCTCGCACTGCTTGCGGACATGCCTCATTCACCTCCCTATGGTCTCTTACTGTGTGAAAGCATCAAGGGTTGCAAAGTGGTGTCAGTGGACCTGTGACCACGGAGTTTGACTCACTGCGCAGTGCTTATGAGCGCACCAATCCAGCAGCTAAACACATACTCTTCTGCGTCCTTCCCTGTTCCCTCCGTCCCTCCTCCCGATCAGGTGGTGTCAGTGGACCTGTGCAGCCTTACCGAGTTTGACTCGGTCCTCAGCGCATACGAGCGCACCAAGCCCGGAGCTAAGCCGGTATCCATCGCATGCAACGACGACTCCTGTGGCACCAAGTCGAAGCTCTCAGGCCTCATCCTCGCCAAGGGAACCACCTACTTCTTTGTGAGACCCTACCCTGCTTTCTGAGAGCCTTGATCGCAATTTTTTTCTTTCTCTCCACATTTTTAGCTCTCCATTGTGACTAGGGATGAGCAAGTGGCGAACACGAACGTGTTCGTGTTCGCCCCTACACGAACACCTTCGTTTGCCGAACCGAACACTGTTCGGTTCGGCGAACACTTTGAGCAAAAAATGGTGTTCGCCGTTCGCCTGTGAAGGCGTGTTCGGGCGAACCTCGAACACTGTTCATGTTCGTCGCGGGCAAATTGCAGCAGCGGCCCGAACACGAACGTGTTCGGGCGAACATCGAACACTGTTCGGCGAACATTTTAAGCCAAAAAAAAATACCTGTTCGGTTCGCCTCGAACACGTTCGAGGCGAACCGAACAGGTGTTCGTTTTTTTGCTCATCCCTAATTGTGACCATTCTTTGGACAACGCTGCACACTGCCCCCCTGACTCTTTTCCGCAACTCGTTTCCCCATTTTGTGGATGCGTGCGTGTTCGCGTCCCTCTGCTGTCATACCTGGCAGATGGTGGACGGGTGGGGAGGCACAGGGGGCAAGTTCGCAATCAACATGGTTGTCACCAAGGTGCTCAAGGCCCTCGACGCCAAGGCACCCCGTAACAAGGCGTTCCAGCCCATCCGCTCCAAGGCAGTTAGCGCAAATGCGCTCGCCTCTCTGCGATCCATGCCTGTGCCACCACAGTCTCACCAGCTTCATCCGCTCCTCTCTCTGCCCATCAATCCCACCTCCTCCCACCCTTCCTCCTCCCACCCTACTTCTTCTGAGTCCGATGGTGGCAATGCTAAAAAAGGTGGCAGTGGTGCCCGTGCTGCGAATCCCTCTTTCTCCTTCGCTTCGCCACGCCACCTCTCTCATCCACCCCGCTTCATCTACATGAATGGCAGTACTCCCATGCCGCTCGCCCCCGCCAGTGGCCCTGGTGTGGGGGCGCGTGATGAGGGCTCAGGTGCTGACGCCAAAGGCTCTTACCGCGTGCTGACAGGGCCCTGGGGAGAATGCTCCGTGTCGTGCGGTGTGGGGCAGCAGCAGAGGTAGGCGTGGGTGTTGGGTGCGGTTGGGATGGTTTTGGGGTGGCATGGCCCGGGGCGGCATGGCATGGGGTCGCATGGCATGAGGTGGTGTGGCATGGGTTGGCATGGAATGGCGTGCATGTGTTTGCATTTAATCAAGAGGCCGTCGCTCGTCCACTTCTCACAATTACCTTTCCTGCTCAGCATTTGTTCCATGTATCATCCACCTGCCCTCACTGATCTGTGCTGTCTGTCGCTTCATTTGCCCTCAGCATTCACTTCATTTCCACACCCACTCCCGTCACCTCTCCCGTCACCTCTCCCATCACCTCTCTCACCAAAAGCTCCTCTATCAGTATTCTTCCTGTTTCCCACCTCCCGGCCAATCGCGTTCCCATCTCTCTTGCAACCCCCTGCCCTGGCCCCTCGAACCAGAATGGCGTGGTGTGTGGACGCCCAGGGAATGACGGCCCAATCGCCTCTCGCCAGCTGTCCGCTGCTCCCTGCTGTGCCCACCACTCAGCCATGCCAGCTGGCACCCTGCACACGCGGTTACTGGGACGTCACACAGTGGCAGGTGCGTCCATTTTTATGTGTCACATTAGAGAAGTCTCAATATTGGCACATGTGTCAAAAAATCCTCTGCTTCTTCCACCCTCTATCCTTCTCTGCTCTCATGCTCTCTCTTTTTCCGGAGCTGTGTTGAGAAGCGCTCACCTCTTTACAACCCTCACCATTCTTGCTCTTAATCGTCCTCCCAATGCCAGGGCTGCAATGTGCCGTGCGGCGGGGGCGTCAACGTGCGGTCAGTGGTGTGTTGAGACGCACGTGCCCTTCTTACACCACTCACCCTCTACACCCCTCACTCTGTTCAACCCATTCTTTCTCTCACCAGGGCTGCAATGTGCCGTGTGGTGGTGGCTTTGACGTGCGGTCAGTGGTGTGTCGAGACGTCGTGCAGGGCACCATGCTGGACGACTCCTGCTGCCCCTCCGCCCCCCCCTCCTCTCTCCCCTCACTTCCTTCTTCCTCCCGCCTTTATTCCCCTCACCAGGGCTGCAACGTGCCGTGCGGAGGGGGTGTGAACGTGCGGTCAGTGGTGTGTCGAGACGCCGTGCAGGGCAACATGCTCGACGACTCCCGCTGCCCCTCTGCCCCCCCTTCCACCAACCAGTCCTGCAACACACAGGTGCCGCCTCTGATTGCCACCCTTTTTTCTTTTCTAGAGCCTCACAACCTCAGAACCTCACCCTCACACCCTCAGAACCTCGCCCGCCCTCATACCCTCAGAACCTCTCCCTCACACCTCACACGCACACCTTCACAGCTCCTCTCCCTGCCAGTGCGCTCTTATTTCGAGCCCACCTTGGGTCAAATCGCCCTCTCTCACTGTCTGCTCTTCCCCTGCGCCCCCCAGCCATGCTCTATCCACATCTGGAGAACTCGCAGCTGGTCCCCGTGCCAGTACTCCCTGACCCTATTGTCCGATGTGCGCTCTGGTTTGACACCCCACGGCAGCAGCAGTAACCGCAGCAGCAGCAGCAGCAGCAGCAGCAGCAGCAGCAGCAGCAGCAGCAGCAGCAGCAGCAGCAGTAACCGCAGCAGCAGCAGCAGCAGCAGCAGCAGCAGCAGCAGCAGCAGCAGCAGCAGCAGCAGCAACCGCAGCAGCAGCAACCACAGCAGCAGCACTAGCAGCAGCAGCAATCAGGGTAGCAGCAGCAGCGGTGGAACGGGGTGGAGTGTGGTGGAGGAGGAGGTGATGCAAGTGTACGGATGGAGAAGAAGAGAGATTGAGGTATGTTGAGCCGCCCTTTGCTTTCTGTGGACCAAGCCACTGTTCATCTTGTTCCAATCCCAGTGAATGCCCCAACCTGAACTATCGTGTTTCAATCACAGTGCGCTTCAAAAGCTTTTGAGGCGCCTCAAAAATGCCCCAAGCTGAACTATTGTGTTTCAAGGACAGTGCATGCCAAGCCTGTTCACTCACTGACATTAACAAAAACAACCTGCAGAGTTGTCTCCAAACTTTGTGACTCACTCGCCCCGTTCCCACCCTCCCTCACAGCCTTTCCGTTTCCTCTAGCCTCTCCTGTATCTCACTTCCCTCACTCACCTCCCCCTCGCTCCCCTCCCTCACTCTCGCTTCTCTCTTACTCTCTTCGCCCTCCCTCTTTCCGTACATCTCAGTGTGTGAGCATGAGAGGCCAATCAGTGCAGGACTCGTTCTGCTCCAGCTCAGTCAAGCCTTCAACGTTCTCTCCCTGCCTCCCTTCCTTCTCCCTCCTTCCTTTTCTTTCCCTCTCTTTCCCTGTCTCGCAGTGTGTGAGCATGAGAGGCCAATCAGTGCAAGACTTGTTCTGCTCCAGCTCAGTCAAGCCCGCAACCTTCTCCCCCTGCCTCCCACCTCCACCACTCCCCTCCACCACCTCTGATGCTGCCTCCTCCCCCTCCGTTTCACCCTCTTCCTCCTCCAACGCTTTCAATACTACCGCTGGCATCGTTTCCAGTAATGCAACTGTTACCGCCACCATCAGACCAATTAGACCCAGCAGCAGCAGCCACAGCAGTCGAAACAGCCGCAGCAGCCGCAACAGCCACAGAAGCCGAAACAGCCATAGCAGCCGGAATAGCCACAGCAGGAAAAGCAGGCACGGAAGGAACAGCAAGCACCGCAGACACAGCAGGCACAGCCACAGAAGCCGCAACAGCAACAGCAACAGCACCTCGTCTCTCCTCTGCTCTAGCCTCTCGTGCATACACGGCACTTGTGAGGTGAGCAGGGCACTTGCAATCTGTTTCTGAGGCGTCTCAGAAACAGCAGGCACTTCCAACATGAGCCGTGTCATTTCTTGTGCTCATAGTACAGATGGGTTGCCTGTCCTCGCTACACTGCTATCAGCCCTGTGTTTTGAGAATTAAAATAGTAATATATATATATATATATATATAAAAAAAAAAAACAGCTGCAACAATATCGTGTTTTGAGTCGACTCAAAAAGCAGCTGCAACAAAATGCCAAATCGGTTCTTGGGTGACCTGAGATGGGCTGCTCTGCTTGGCGTCACACTCACTGCGTTGCTGGCAGCCCAGTATTTGAAACGCCTCCGACCTCATAACTCCGCCCTGTTCCTTTCACCCCCTCCATGCAGCGGGGAGCATGTGTGTGCAGGGAGGGATGGGCAGGCCCTCAGTGCAGCGACCCTCACCTCTGTGGCGGCAGGCCCGTGGGACTCATGCTCTCTCCCACAACTCAGGTCTCATAATTCCTTCTGTTCCCTTGCCGTCTTCCCCACCCCCACCCCTTCATCCATGCAGCGGGGAGCATGTGTGTGCAGGGAGGGATGGATGGGCAATCAGTGCAGCGACCCTCACCCCTGTGGAGGCAGGCCCGTGGGACTCATGCTCTCGCCCACGCCTGTTCACGCTCAAACTGCTGCTTCTGCTGCTGCTGATGATGATGATGATGATGATGCCGATGCCGCCGCTGATGTTGCTGCTGTAGCGACAACTGTTGACCTGCCAAGTGGGTTAGGACCAGGCAGCAGTGATAGCAACAGCACGAGCAACCCCATCAGCAGCAGCAGCGCTCTCAACCCCATCAGCAGCAGCAGCAGCAGCAGCGTGAATATGACTGTCTCAGTGCACGTGTCCTGTTGTCCAGCTTTCCTAGTGGATCGCTGGGGGTGGTGCTGCCTCTCTGCCTCTGCCCGCCTTGACCAGGTCTGCTCCTGCTCCTGCCTCTGCTCCTGCCCCTGTTCCTGCCCCAGTGGGATTGCGGCAGCACGTTGGGTTTGCAGCACGTCTCAACCCAACGCTGCAGTAGCCCGTCAGAGAGTGTCCCGATTATCTTTTGGAGCTGTCTGGCACACGCTGCTCACATGCACATTATGGTGCAGAGTGTTTTTGAGAATTCTCAAAAACACCCTACAGCTGTCCGGCACACTCTGCACAAATGCACATTATCTCATGCTGCTTCCTTTCCTGTACTCTCCTCTTCGTACCTGAGTGCCCCGCTTGCCTGTGTAAATCGTTGCTTCCGTCTGCCTGTGTAAATCGTTGCTCTCGTCTGCCTGTCTGCCTGTGTAAATCGTTGCTTCCGTCTGCCTGTGTAAATCGTTGCTCCCGTCTGCTTGTCTGCCTGTGTTCCTGTGTGCCTGTGTGCGGTGCGAGTGGGTGCAGAACGGTTCATGCTGTGAGAGTGGCCGAGTGGACGCCTGTGGAGTCTGCAATGGCAATGGAAGGTACGGGCGAGAAGGAATGGGAGAGAGGTGAGGTATGGTTGAGAAGCAATGGGAGAGAGGCGAGGTACGGTTGAGAAGCAATGGGAGAGAGGCGAGGTACGGTTGAGAAATTAATGGGAGAGAGGCGAGATACGGGTGAGAAACAATGGGAGATCGAGGTGAGGTAACGTACCCGCCTGTTGCTGTTGCTCGAGCAGATTCGGTGCTTGAGTCTCTGTTGAGGACTTACACTCGCACACTTGAGTTTAGGGCGATAGGGCAAATCATGCATAACGGGCGAGATGGGGATGTGCTGTACTGACTTTCTGACAGACTAGTCGCATGTGTTGTGTCTCATGCCCGTCGTTCCTCCCTCCCGTCTGTCCTTACCTTCTCCCACTACTAGTTTTTTTGAGGCGTCTCAAAAGTCCCTCCCGTCTGTCCTTACCTTCTCCCACTACTAGCTTTTTTTGGAAACGGGCGATTGCGGTGCATCGGGCCTGAGCCGAGGGCGAGGGGGGTTTGTGTTGCCCTGCTGCCAGTCTTCGACTCTGCGTCTCATCCCCCACATTCCCCCTACTCATTCCCCCAGCTCCTTCCCCCTTCCACTCCTGCTCCCGTCCCCCCGTCCACCTTCCTTTCACCCAGCGCCGTGGACGTAAGGGGAGACTGCTGCACATCGGGTCTGAGGGACGACATGGGCGTGTGCTGCCCCTCTGCTGTCTCGAACCCTGCTCTCATCCTCCCCTTTGCCCCATTCCCATTCCCCCTTCTATGCTTCCTTTCACCCAGTGCTGTGGACGTAAGGGGAGACTGCTGCACATCGGGTCTGAGGGACGACATGGGCGTGTGCTGCCCCTCTGCCCGCCTCGATGCGTGCGGGCGATGCGATGGGGACGACACCTCCTGCGCGCTCCTCGCCACCGTTGCCATGCGGGTATGCGCTCTCCCGGGGTTCTCCAGGTAACAGGACTTTGACTCAAACGCTGGGCAGTTGTGCTGCCCCTCTGCCCGCTTGGATGCATGTGGGCGATGCGGTGGGGACGGCACCTCGTGTGCCCTCCTCGCCACCGTAGCCATGCGGGTACGTGCTCTCTCGGGGTGCTATGGGTAGCAGGACTTTGACTGAAAAGCTGGGCAGTTTGTGTTGCCTCTTTGCCTGCATCTCTGCCCGCCTCAAAGTGGATGATGCAATCGGGATGGCACCTCGTGCGCCCTTGTCGCCACCGTTGCCATGCGGGTATGGGCTCCCTCAGGATGCTATGGGTAACACCGTTGAGGCGCCTCAGGAATGGTCTCCTGGACACTGGCCGTGGGGGTATGTGCACACATGTGACACGTGCATTCAGGGTTCTATGCAACATGGTCTGATCGCCTCTATTGTCTATGATGCATCATCTCGTATCATGTTGTATTGTATCGTGCCCGCATCATGCCGCATGGTGTGGCATGTTTATTCAAATGCAGGTGCCCTTCCGCCCACCCCACAATCACCCTCCCTACCCATCTCCCTCGGCTCCTGTTTCCTGTCTCTCGCGCTTCCAGGTACCGTTCTCGCAATCAGTGGCCTCGCATGCTCTCGAGCTTGCCTCCAGCACCGTCCATCCCAGCTTGAATGATTATGGCTCCCTCAACACCAGCACGGATGGCGATAGAGGCAATACAAGTGCAGGCAGCAGCAGCAACCATCACTTCAGCGACTTTGCTTCCGCCTTCACCAATGGGGTACGTATCGCACGTCATGCTCTAGAGCAAAGGCACGCCTGCCACGCTGGTTCTCACACATCACTGCATGGATGCATCTCCCCGCACATCACTGCATGGATGCATCTCCCCACACATCACTGCATGGATGCATCTCCCCACACATCACTGCATGGATGCATCTCCCCACACATCACTGCATGGATGCATCTCCCCACACATCACTGCATGGATGCATCTCCCCACACATCACTGCATGGATGCATCTCCCCACACATCACTGCATGGATGCATCTCCCCACACATGCACATACTCGTTTGGACACACATGTTACCACTTGGTCCCTTCATCCTTTTCCCTCCCCTTTTCCTTTTCTCTCACACACCTGTCCTTCTCACTTACTCCATCAGATGCCTGAGATCCTGGACGTGCTACCACAAGCCATCTCCTTCGCTTCCTACCCCCCTTTTTCTCTCACACCCCTCCCTGTCTCACACACTCCATCAGATGGCTGAGATCCTGGACGTGCTACCACAAGCCATCTCCTTCCTCTCAATCACACCAGCGCCATGCCTGCCGGACTTCCCAGGAGCTTCGTTTCCAAACCAGCTTTACACAGCCACCGAACCTAACTCCCAGGCTGGGCAGCCTAGGTCTGGGGTGGAGCAATCAGACCATGCGTGGGAGTGGGAGGGGGGGTGTGGGCAGCTGGATGACACGAACAGCCCCAGAGGCATTTCAGTGCAATTCGTTGCGCAACCCCTCGCGGTACGTGCCGTTGATGTTGCTGTTGCTGCTGCTGCTGCTGCTGCTGCTGCTGCTGCTGCTGCTGCTGCTGCTGCTGCTGCTGCTGCTGCTGCTGCTGCTGCTGCTGCTGCTGCTGCTGCTGCTGCTGCTGCTGCTGCTGCTGCTGCTGCTGCTGCTGCTGCTGCTGCTGCTGCTGCTGCTGCTGCTGCTGCTGCTGCTGCTGCTGCTGCTGCTGCTGCTGCTGCTGCTGCTGCTGCTGCTGCTGCTGCTGCTGCTGCTGCTGCTGCTTTAGAGCTAAGCTAACTCGTTCTTTGGGGGGTGGGGATGGATGGGTGCTGTGCTGTGTGCAGGTGGGATCCACAACACCCCGCATGGCAGAGACCAGCTTCCGGGAGGCGCTGGTGCAGTATGCTCAGGACAGCATGCAACCCCCAACCACGCCATTTCTGGTGATGCTCCCTCCCCAGCCATTCCACCTCAATGCCACCTGCTGCTATCACCCTTTCTTCACTGAACACGTGTTTGCCTCCACATGATGCTAAAATTGCACCTGTAGCAGCTATTGTTAAGTCTTCGACTCTGCTACTATGTAGCAGCTCCAACTACTCTTTCCTCCTGACCATCTCCATATCTCACGTGGTCCTTCCATGGTGTGCCGTCACATTGTTCCGATCAGGGCGTCCCTGGGTCTTCCTTCATCTCGCTGCTCTCATCAACCCGCCTTGGCATCTGTGGAAACAACATATGTGAGACTGGAGAGCGGTGCTCCCAGCCCAGTATGGCTTCTGCATTGACGGGCAGTTCCTACTCTTACAATGGGACTTCTGAACGCAGTGCTGAGTCTTCTTGCTGCCCAGAAGACTGCCCATTTGTTTCGCTGGCGTGTCCAGCTTCTGACGATGGCCATGGGAGAAACTCTGCATGCTCTGGGTTTGGTCGGTGCCTCAACTTCACAGGCACATGTGACTGCTTCTGGGGTATGTATGGAGATGTGAATGCTGCATGCATTAACAAAATGGAGTATGTCACATGTTCTTTTTGGAAAACAATTTCTCCATTTTGATTCAATGTGCCTTGCTTGTTGCTTCTCCCAGGTCATGTTGGTGAAGATTGCTCCCAGTGTGCTGCTGGATGGGCGATGTCACCAGTAACGGGTTCATGCTACATTCAGCCAAATACTGCTTCACTTACGTCAGTATTGAGCATCATCGCTTCCACCCCATCTGTTTGCTACGAGACTGCTTAGAAAAATGCTTATCGGCCATAGAAACTGACGAAGAATGGCCTCCAAAGATGTACAAATACCATGCTTGAGCAAGGATTCATATACTTATGTTTGCTGAATCAATTTCAATACGTTATCAAGATATACAGCTTAAGACAGGAACTTGTCCAGGCTCTGGAAGACGGTCGTGTTCCATGGGTCGGCAAGGTGAGCAGCCAGGTTGGCGAAGGGACCGGCACCAGTGACGTGGGACTGGATGATGAAGCCCAAGAAAGCGATCATGGCGGTACGGCCTGAAAACATAAATGCAAGAGCAGATTAGTTGGACGAACATGGTGATTTGATCCAATGCTGTCGGTGATTTACTGAAGAGACGTCGTGATGCTCACCGTTAGCGATCTCGCTCTCCTTGGAGCGGAAGTCGGTTCCCATACCCATGGGGTTGAAGCCGGGGTAACCCACTTCACCAGGGGGGAGAGTGTTGCCGAAGGGGTCCGTGCTCACGCTGCCGGGCTTCTTGATGTCTTGCCACCTCAGAAGCTCAACAAAGTTAAACAGGATGAACTCGATCGCGAACAGGGTGGGAGTGGGGCACCAGAACTCAGCGACACCGGTGTCGTACCACACGGGAACGTTCAGGAGACCAGCGGAGGTCAGAGCCTCGGGGATGATCATGCCGGCAACACCGAGCATGGCCCAGCGGCCGTTCTGGAGCTCGGCCTGGACGTACCACTTGAGGTTCTCGGGATCCTCGGCCAGGGCAAGGGGATCGAAGCCGTTGTCGCCGGGAAGGCTGGAATGAGAAAGGACAGAGAAGGCATTAGTGGCCTACGAAAAATATTTCGATATCGCACGGAAACAATGCGCCTAAAAGAGCTATCGCTGATAAAGGTATCGAACAGCATTTACCTGCCATCGAGCCACGCCGGGGAGGTGGACCCAGGGAGCCAGTTGCCCTTAGCCTCAATCTTCAGGGCGGAGATGGAGGTCGGCTGTGCGTTAGCACGAGTCGACCTGGCGAGGCGCGAGGAACCCGCACCAAGGAAAGTGGACCTAGCCACGACGGAGGCAGCCTGCATGGTGACGGAAGCCATGGCTACGTCTTAGGTTGGCGAACTGAAGGAGGTGGCTTGGAAACAGGTTCCTCTGCAGTCAGCAGTCCAACGATTGCTGGGATGGTACTTCAGCTCCTCGACCCTTTCCGCCAGGATGTTCCACCTGTGTTCCCCGCGCTTGGTTGAGAGACGCAATTCCCACGGGGGAGGTGGGGGGAACCAGCGACTGGCGAACGAGCGATATCCAAAACTCAAGGCGTATCTGAGTCAGCCAATCGTGGATAAGACCCATCGTTCTCGCAGGAAACTGGTTGGCTGCCCACTTCAGCGCAACGCCCTCGTTGATTTCTGTCGCGAAGTCGGATTGTTTACTGGGTGATAGGCCCCTGACCTTCGTGAAGTGATGGTAACCAGAAAATCAAATACCGTGAGGTGTAGACACAAAAGAATCAGATGATCATATTAGGAGGAATTCTTTAGCTCTACCTTGAAACACAAACTTGTAACATGATAAATGGTAATGTAGCATCCACATTCAGAAATACACATAAAAGGGTTGATATTTCGTGAAAAAAAAAATATAACGGACAGTTGTTTAACGTTAACAGCAGTATTTCTCATACCCGTAGATATATACAGGGCAGAATAATATCAGGAGTGCCGATATAACCAAGGGAGGATCCAGTTCGGTTATTCCAACAAGGATTAATGACTAAAATGGAAACCTAGTGAAGCAGAAAATAGAAGGACAAAAGGCAAATTTATCAAGCTGCATTCATCTACCCCAGGCCCCACGTTATCAGAGTAAATTACTCTGTTTCTCTGAAAATCAGAGTCATTTTTTAAAGTAACTCTGTACCCGATGGGTTTTTTTTTTGGAACTTAAGATTTCTCTGATTTGTCAGAGTTATGCTGTAGGTTACTCTGAGGCCTCTGGGGTTTTTTTTCAGGGACCGAATTTACTCTGTATATGGAATACATGCCCCCTAGCCGAAACCCACCCACCCCCCTCCCCCCCTCCCCCTCCCCACGTTTAGCGGGTTTTCCCTGAATCGTTGAGATTATTATCCTGATTTCGGTCGTGTGTTGGGGGCAATATGAGCGTTGATTGGCTACAAAAGTTTGACAACTTCTCAACCAGCGCACATGTCAGCCACTCCCCTCCCTCTCCTTGACAGGGTTCTCGCTAGGTTTAGGGCCTGTCTGACAGTACCCTCAAAAACATTTTCCCCGTCTTAGGCTTTGACGACGAAATTTTTGTGGTCTGCAGTATAAGCTGAAATATTTTTCCTAGTCTGATAAACTAGACGAAAAAAAAAAACCAAGTCAGCCTACAGCGAGGCTGCACAAGGCAGTTACAGAGCTGTATAAGACACGCGTAATGAATGCGCGTGCAGTTACAAGGCAGCAATCGGCTGTACCTGTGGTGGTCCTGTCCTCTGGTCAACTGGGCCTATGGCCTAGTGGGTCAAGTTGTCGGTTTCAGACGAAACCGAACTCGCTATCTGTATCCTCAGATAAAAAATTCTACACGTCTGAAAAAATCATACGAACTTAAAAGTCAAATCTTGCTGATCAGATGAGAACAAACACAAAATCTTAGGATTAAGATGAATACAAAAAAACCAGTCTTAAACGCAGACCATCAGACCAAATTGGTCTGATAACGAGAACCCTGCTCCTTGAGTCAGATTATCGGTGCCAACACCTCACTTGGAAACAACGCACTGAGGGGGGAAACGTGGGCGACGCGGAAATGAAACATAGTGCAAGCACAAAAGGCGTAACAAAAACTTTCATACAGCAAACTTAACCAACATCAGAGTAGAGAAAAATATTACTCTGACGTGCCTAGGTTTTATTTTTTTAAGTGTAGGGTTACTCTGACAAATCAGAGTAAGGCGCATGAACAACCCTAGATTTCAGAGTTGGGAAAAAATATACTCTGGAAATCAGAGTACCTAAAATCCAAAAGTAGGCCCTGATCTACCCCAAAGCCGACCTTTCATTTATGGTACACGTCCCAGCTCCTGACCCAAGCACATTGCAGTCAGGTGTTGGAGTAGCTCGAAATGAACAAACTAGCTTTTTGATTAGGTATGCCTCTAAATTGCAGCAACGAGAGAAATTATGTGCGTGCACGCAGTCAAGTTTTCTTGAGTGGGGGATTGCCCTGCTGTGCATAGAGGTATAGAGTGGGGGATTGACCTGGTGTGCATAGAGGTATAGGGAGCTTCTCTTTCCCACCATACACGCAAAGGAGGAACAAACTATCCACAGCGACAATTACAAAATGGTTCTAAAGGAGCATATGGAATTTCTGGGTCGGAGATGGCTTCTGGCACGGCACGGCACACATACCTAGATAAAATCAACGTGTCAGAACTATATTCCAACACGCTCAGCAGCATGATTTATCACACCACTGGCCACTTCTGGAGTCCGGACCACCACCACAACAGGTAATCCAACTAAGGTTGAGCTAAGCATTATATTTTAACATGTACAGGTTCTAACTTAATGGGATCTGTAGAAGGCATCCAGGCTCTGGAAAACGGTGGTGTTCCATGGGTCAGAAAGGTGGGCAGCCAGGTTGGCGAATGGGCCGGCACCAGTGACGTGCGACTGGATGATGAAGCCCAAGAAAGCGATCATGGCGGTACGGCCTGAAAATGAAAATGCACGTGTAAATTAGTGGTCGATTATGTTGTAACGAATGAAGAAAGATCGAAATTATGTTGCAATAAACTGAAAGCGCGCGTCATGCTCACCGTTAGCGATCTCGCTCTCCTTGGAGCGAAAGTCGGTTCCCAGACCCATGGGGTTGAAGCCGGGGTAACCCACTTCACCCGGGGCGAGGGTGTTGCCGAAGGGGTCCGTGCTCACGCTGCCGGGCTTCTTGATGTCTTGCCACCTCAGAAGCTCAACAAAGTTGAACAGGATGAACTCGATCGCGAACAGGGTGGGAGTGGGGCACCAGAACTCAGCGACACCGGTGTCGTACCACACGGGAACATCAAGGATCCCCGCAGCAGTCAGAGCCTCGGGGATGATCATGCCGGCAACGCCGAGCATGGCCCAGCGGCCGTTTTGGAGCTCGGCCTGGACGTACCACTTGAGGTTCTCGGGATCCTCGGCCAGGGCAAGGGGATCGAAGCCGTTGTCGCCGGGAAGGCTGCATCACGAAGACAAGATGCGCGAATTTAGATATCTGAGTGCTGAGTGCGGCTCAGCAATGTCGTTTCTCTTGGTGCCTATCAAACATACACTACAGGGCACAAGACGCAAAGCCGTGAAGTACCTGCCATCAAGCCAGGCCGGAGAGGTGGAACCTGGGAGCCAGTTGCCCTTGGCCTCGATCGTAAGGGTCGACACGGATGCTGGCTGCGCAGCAGCACGGGTCGACTTAGCAAGGCGCGATTGGCCAGCGCCAAGGAAAGCGGACTTGGCCACAACGGCGGTAGACGCAGCCTGCATGGTGACGGACGCCATGGCTTTTGATAGTCAGTGTTGGAGCAACAACGGCTCTTTGATGAAGCTCCTTTACGCACAGGAATCAGCTTGTTGTCTATCAGGGGTACTTAAGGCAGCAGGAACAAGGTTCTACGCCCTTAGTAAATCGGGTTTCGCCGACACAAGCGTGCAGGATTTGACATCAAGCCAATATCCAAAACTCGTTAACATATCTCAAGGGACCAATCGTATTGGAGAACCATATGTGATCAAGGGTATTGGTTGGTTCGCATCGGTCTCTGCTTGGGAGTGAGCGATTCTGGCGCCTCGTGTTTGTGGGCTGAGAAACGGTTGGCGAAACGGTAGTTCAAGCTTTGCGAACAAATTTTGCGACGAACATTGAAGCACACAGGTACTGAAGAACAATTTTTTTTTGCCTGCTTGTAAGGAATTTTTAGGGCTACAGTTCCCACTAAATTGAAATTATAATAGAACCCATAAGGAAATCAATACCCATCAAAGCCTGTGGAGCTTGTACCTACATCGCCCACAATTTCGCACTCAGGAATGCAAGGCATAAAGAGCTATCATTACACAAACTGCACGAGATCTCTAGAGCTTGAGCTACATACAAGCAAACAGACGCCATCTCAGCAAGGACACTGAAAATCCATGGACATTGGACATCAAATTCAGGAAGTCTAGCCATAGCTCGATGTGTGCCCCCTACTTGTCGAGGTAGACTAATTATGTAAATACTCAAACCTAAAGGATCGGATACATGTTCATGGTGGCATCTGCGAGTGCTCAATCGCTCACCACCCTGCTCAATCAGAATCGGAGTCATCGCTATCATCTGAGTCGTCGCTATCATCACTGTCATCATCAGAGTCGGTATCGTCCTTAGCGGCTGGAGGAGGCGGTTTCTTTTCTTCGACTGGCTTGGATGGCGTTGAGGTTGCAGCAGCTGGGGGAGGTGCTGAAGAGGATGCAGCCACGGGCTTTGCGGGTGAAGATTCCTCTTCTTTCACGACTGAACTGGACGGAGGTTCGGAGACGGCAGCAGCCACATATTTTGCAGGTGAGGCAGTTGAGGGCTTGGATATGGACACAGATGACACCGCAGCTGCAGCTTGTGATCCAGCATCAGCCCCGTCACCGGTTTCACGCTGCAACTCTGTGAAATTGCCTTTCTTCAAGAACAGCTGTTGAAAATGCGCCTTACAGTACAGCTTTCCTCCCAGTGCTTGGTAAGTCGAGGTCGTGAGCTTGCATCCACTGTGGACGCATTTGAAACACTGGTTGTGGTACGTGGAGTTCTCGACACTGACCTGAAACGGCAAGAGATCCCATGTGAGCGCGAGACGCACTCATCAAGAAAAGCAGTAGGGACGTCGAAAACAAAAATACCTTTTCCAGGGGGTAGACTGTCTTACTGCAAACTACGCACTTCTCCTGTGTCCCGCCGAACCTCGCTGCCAAAGGATTGACGACCCTCTGCATAATATCAAGATCAACTGATTACAATCAAAAACCAAGTTGGCTTGTTTAAAAGGCAAGAGCGACGAGGAAAATCAGCCCTGGCCTACCTTGTTGTCTCCTCCGTATCTCGATACGCCAGTGGTAGATGTCACACCTGAGGCAATAAAAGAACACTGAGATACTCGAACTCGAAATACTAAGACATTTCCAAGGAGTAAAAAGATCATACTCACTCCCAGGTGCCACAGTTTTCTCCTTCTCCGACTTGATGGCCTCTTCAAAGCTTTTGTTGTAGCACCCAGTCTTCTTAAAGAGTTGATCGAAGTGCGGCTTACAGTACAGAACACCTTCAAGCGAAGCGAAACTATTCAGCTGTTAAGATAGAAAACAGAGATCTTTAGCCAACGTTATGAATCGTGTTCCAAGTGGAGAACAAGGTGTTTAACAATTATTCACCTTAAGAGTGCCCTTGCAATGAAAGCACCTGCTCAATACACACAACATGGACAACCTAGGTCAGCTTTTGTGTGTACACGCGCGACGGATATGCACTCTAGAGGAACTCACCGGAAACAATGCTTGTGGTAGATAACCCCATCAGCTATCAACTGCTCCATCAAGTACACGGTCTTCCCGCAAGACTTGCATTTTGTAGTCGTCCCAGTGAAGGCGGACATTTTCAAAGATACGAAAGGACCTAGCCTAATCTCAGAACGAGCTAGGCCTACTTAGGACGACGACAGATCCTGATCAGGGCCCTAAACTCACGCTGTGGTGTTCCCTACGGAGTGAGCTGGTTGGATGAATCTGGGGAGGAGGAACTCTGAAGTGGCTGGGGTGGTTGTATGGAGGTGGTGTGAGTGTCGCATGGGTGCCTGAACTGAAGGGTCTCGGGGTCACTCCATCGTGCCTGCGACGGAGACGCGACGCTGAGTGCTGGTGAGAGTAGATCGTGCGATTCTGCGAACAGTTTTCGTTTGAATGGGAGTTTCGGAAAGCTTCTTCGAGATCCTGCCAACTTAGGCGAAGCGCAGCTTCTGCCACTGTTACCAGAAGGGATGTCAGGGTTTCGTTCGACTTCTTCGCGGAGAAAGCAGGACCTCTGGTTATTACACCTGAAATGGGTACACGTTACAGGCTCATAACAAGTCCTTACCTTGCCATGTGCATAGGGCAATTGAATTTCTGTACTATCAATCCCTCTCAAGCCACTCACTGGTTAGTTCTATGAATATATGTATGAGCATGCATCATTTTGAACTTCTACTATATCAAATCACTGTATCTTTAATCAACAACGATTAACCTTTTTTGTACCCTACACTAGCACATCACAACACTGATCTATGCACTCGCTAGTCAGTAGTGTTAGAATTGGTTGTTCCATTCCTTATTGACATGAGCCTGAGAGCCCAGTACCAGATCCCCAGCTGCTCCAGCACCTACACCAGCAGGGGCTTGTTTTATAAACTGACCCCTAAACCTCGGTCTCTGCTCTGCCAGGCGCTTCCGACTCTGATAACGAACCTGGAAGCGCAAAGGAGCAAAAAGGAGCAGCTGAATCAGTACATATGTATGCCACCCACGAAATCAGCACGCTTCACATTAAGATGTATAAGCAAACCCCCTTGAAAAGGAAAAGTCACATACCTTTTTCTCAAAGCACCGGTCCTTGCGCTTCTGCCTGAATTTATTCAACGCTGCCTCTCGCACGGCCTGCCGGCTCATCACAGTAGGAACAGCAGCTCCAGCCGCACACCCTCCTCCTGCAGCCCCCAGCGCAGCCTGGCACTGCCCGGAGCCTTGCGACAGCCCGCAACCAGGCCCACCACAGGCACATGCAGCACACGCAGCTGCTTCCGCTGCACGAGTATCCTGAAGCTGAGACATCCCTCCTCCAGAGCTGGAAATATCCATGGCACAGCATTGTTGAAGCGCTGTGTGAACTCCTCCTCCTCCTGCTGCTGCTGCTGCTGCTGCTAATCCACACGTCCCTCCTCCCCCCTCCACCATCTCCTCCTCCTTGCCTTCCTCGTTCCCATCCACCACTTCACCTGTGGTGGTGGCAGGCGTGGCAGATGCGTCAGCAGCGCAGGGAGGGAACGCCACAGCCTGCCCCATCAGGCTCACCATTTTCACCCCATTGCCTCGGCTCGCCTCCACAGGCGCGTGCACGCTCACAGTGCCGCTGCCATTCCTACTGCACCCAGTCATACCCTCCCTGCCTCGTGCCTCCTCGCCTGCTCCCCACACATCTGTCGCTGTGCCGTCTGCGTGCTCTGGTCGCGTCTGCAAGGGAAGGCCATTGGTACTGCCACCCCCAACCCCTGCAGGAGCTGCTTCCCTGCTGTTCTGAGTGTTCTGAGCGCTGCCCACACCACCACTGCCCCCGCCTCCACTGCCCTGACCACTCTGCACCCCACTCTTACTCCCACTCCCATTCCCACTTCCTCTCCCACTCGCACCCTCTTTGTTTCCACGCGCATCCCCATCAACATTCGCTTTGTCACCATCCGCCGTAAAAACATTTGTGCTCTGGTGATTGCTGACAGCTGCTGCAGCTGGTGCCGCCGCTCTTGCACACGGTGGTATAGGGCCAGCAGCAGCAGCAGAAGAGCCCACGGTGGCAGGAGATACAGCACTGAAGCTGCTCTCACGCATCAGTGGGCCCTGCTGCTGCTGCCGCTGCTGCTGCTGCTGCTGCTGATTGTGATGGCGTTGGTGTTGGTGTTGGTGGTGGTGGTGGTGATGGTGGCGTTGCTGCTGTCTATTCTCGCATGCAGCATCACCAATTCCGCCATCTCTATTCCCACTGCCATGAGCGCCCGCTTCACTGTTTTGCACTACCTCTGCATGATCCTTCTCCTTCCCTTGCTCCCTCGCATGCTCCCTCTTATGCTCCTGTTGTTGTCTCCCTTGATCCTTCCCCTGATCCCTCCCGTACCCCCTCCCTCGCTCGTCCAGCCCATGCTGCTGCCTGCTACCGCCTCCCGCCGTACAGGGGGGAAGAGGCAGCTTCAGCACAGGGGCAGGAGGGAGACGGCTGGCACATGCCGTGCTGCCTGTAGCCGCACCAGCACCAGCAGCAGTGGCAGCAGCAGCAGCAGCGGCGGCGGCGGCGGCGGCCGCCGCAGAGGCAGCAGAAGCAACAGCAGCACCAGCAGCAGGTGCTGTGCCTAAGTGAATCTCCTGAGGGGTTGCTCCCTGGTGCTCTAGAGAAAGAGCTGTGGAGCTGGGCTGGAATGAGGGAGACGGAAGGAAGGAGAGTGAGGCAGCGCGTGAGAGAGGCGCGGGAAGAGAGGAGGCGTGGGCGGCGTGAGGAGTGTGGGGGTTCAGGTGGGAGAGGAGTGGGCGGGTGGGGAGGAAAGACGATGGTGAGAAGCTGGGAGGAGCGAGGCTTGAGAGGAGATTCAGCTGCTGCGCTGCTGCTGCCGCTGCCGCCGCCGCTGCTGCCGCTGCTGGTGTTGCCGCTGGTGCCGCTGTTACTCCAGGTGCTGCTGCTGCTGCTTGTGCCAGCGCCTGGGGTAGCTGAAACTGCCCGTGCTGCTGCTGCTGCTGCTGCTGCAGTTGCAGGCGCTGCTGTGCTTGCATCTGCTGCAGCATGGCTTGCTGCAACGCCTGCTGTGCCAGCTGTGGCATCACCTGAGGCGCGTACAGCCACGGAGGGGGCACCCCTGCTGCTGCCGTCGCAGCAGCCGCAGCAGCATAGTACGCAGGAGGCAGGAACATTCCAGAGGAAGCGTCAAGTGGAAACCCAGATTGTGGCGGCAGCCCTGGGGGGGTAATGGGCGCTGGAGACGGAGTGGGATTAGGATTCCCAACAGGGCCAGCAGCAGCAGCAGCAGCAGCAGCAGCAGCGGCAGCAGCAGCAGCAGCGGCGGCAGCAGAAGAATCAAGATCCGCAGCTCCACAGGCACTACCAGAGGCACCAGCACCCAATGCTGCTGTTCTCCCATTCCTCCCTCCGTGCCCCTCCCCGCTGCTCCCTGCCGCCCCGCACCCGTCCAGGTCCTCCCCCTGGGCAGGTGAAACTCCTCGCATTGGCGTGGTGGATCTGCCCAGGCCTGGAAAACCGCTGGGTCCGGGCAGCAGAGAGAAAGGATTGAAGGGATGGAACATGGCGGCCGCGGCAGCAGCAGCAGCAGGAGGGGGAGCCGGGTATGAGTCACTGAAGGGGTGGGCGAAGGGGGAGGGGAGAGTGGAGTTGTAGCGGAAAGGAGAGGCCTCCCTATGCTGCCCTGTTGCTGTCGTGGAGGGGAGAGGCGTTGGTGCTGTTGGGTTGATTGTTCCCAGCCCAAGAAGGGCAGCTGCTGCTGCCTCTCGCGGTGCTGCTGCTGCTGCCGCCGCTGCCGCCGCAGCTGGTGGTGCCGCTGGCACTGCTGGTGGTGCTGGTGGTGCTGCAGATGCAGTGGCAGTTGGTGTTGCGACTGCTTCTGCTGCTCCTGCAACAGCAGCATCCCCTCGTTCTGGTATTCTCTGTGACACTGCCATGCCGCTCTCCCCTTCATTCCCTCCTCTCCTCCCCCCCTCCGCATTTGCACTACCCTTCTCCCCACTCCCTCCGCTACCACTGTTCCCACCGCCATCACGCACGCTCGTCAGCCCGCTGCTGCCGTCCATCTTCCCTCCCGAGCCTCCACCCGAACCTCCCGTACCACCCGAACCTGCAACCAGTCCGCCCGAACCGACAACGGACTTGGGCGGTTGGCTCGACACCTGGTGAGCTGGGCTCTGCGGAAATAGCTGCCGGCACTCCTGCTGCTGCTGTTGCTGCTGCTGCTGTTGCTGGTGTTGCTGGTTTTGCTGGTGTTGATTGTAATGGTGATGGTGGTGATGCAGATGGTGCGACTGTTGATGCCCCCCAGTTCCTGTGAGGGCTATGGATGAACCAGGAGTGATGGTACCAGAAGCGCCTGTATCGGGCGTGCTTGTAAGAGGAGGGGTGAGCAAACGGCTGGGGCCTGGAGCAGAGGCAGCGAGAGGTATAGCGGCAGCGAGAGGTATAGCGGCTGCAGGAGCAACAACAGCAGGAGCAGCAGCAGCAGGAGCAGATGATCCAGCAGGAGAAGAACCCGCAGCAGCGGCAGCGGGGGCAGCAGCAGCAGGAGGAGGGAAAGGGAGAGCAGCAGGGGGTGCTGTGGTGTAGCGGGTGAAGGCAGAGAGTCCCGAGTGCTGCCAGGGGGACTGCTGCCATGCTGCTTGCTGCCACGCTGCTGCATGGTGCTGCGATGCATGGTGATGCGATGCGTGGTGCTGAATGTGCATGTGCGGTTGCAGGTGATGCTGGCTCTGATGGTGATGCTGGGTGTGGTGCTGGTGGTAATAGCTCTGGTCCTGCCTCCAATTTCCCTGCTGCCGCGGACTCTCCTGCTCCCTCTCCCTCTCCCTCTCCTCCTCCGTCTCCTCCACTTGCGTTGCTGCATTGTCCCATGCCGCCCTCTCCGAATCTCGCCTCCCTCCTTCCCCACCCTCGTCTGCTTCCACTCGCCTCCTCACTCTCCTCTCTTTCTCCTCCCTTCCTCCCCCCAATGCTTCTGCTTCCCTCTTGACCCCCTCGGATTTGTCTGCCCCTGCTGCTACTGCTGCTACTGCTGCTCCTGCTGCTCCTGCTGCTCCTTCTGCTCCTTCTCCCCCAACTTCTACCCGCTCATCTCGGCCTCTCTTCCTCTCTCCTTCCGCCCGCTGCTCCGCAGCCCCGTCCTCATGCCCCCCTCCCACCACCATCCCCTCACCACTTTCCCTCATGTCAAGGTCCTTCTGAGCGTCTCCGCCCTTTACAGTCACGTTCTTTTCAGGAGGTCTCTCCGCTTGCACGCCTCCTACATTCTTAGCAGGAGAAGAACCTTCTTCAGCACCTTCTTCTGCACCTTCCTCTGCACCTTCCTCTGCACCTTCCTCCTCTGTGCCGAAGTTCCACCTCACCTTCTTCCCCTCTCTGTCCGCCTTACAAGCCATCTCGATAAGAGCAGGAACAGCCCCCTGGGAGAGTGATCCGTCATGTAAGCAGCCAACCACTGAAGTCACCATTTGCGTTACCACGGGTGTTACAACCTCTGCAGCAGCAGCAGCAGCAGCAGCAGCAGCAGCAGCAGCGCCAGCACCGGCACCAGCAGCAGTGGCAGCAGCAGTATCAGCAGCAGTTTCAGGTTCGACTACCGGTGCTCCTGTCACTAGATCCTTTGAGATTGCTCCTGCAACATCCATTCCGGTTTCCCTTTCGGCAGCAACAACAGCTGCAACAGCAGCAGTGTCGCCACCACCGTCAGGGTCTGTAGCAGCACCAGCCGCAGCAGCAGCACGAAGCATTCTCCCTTTTACCACCACCACCTCCTCCTGCTCCTGCTCCTCCTGCTCTTTCCGCTCCGCCTCCGCCTCTACCTCCGCCACTTGCTCCGCCTCGTCCCCCGCGTCCCCATCCCCTTCCGCCCGCGGCGGCCCCTCACACTCCTCTTTCTTAGTCGAACCTTCCCCGGACGCCTGCGCACTTTCCACCACCGCCTCGGCTGCGCGCACTGCCTCCGCCGCCACTGCGCGTTCCTCCCCGCCCCCCCTGCCCCCGCTCCACCCCCAGCCCCCCCTGCCCCCCTTACCCTGCTGCTGCGGCGGCAAACGGTCCTTTCTCAACCCTCCTGCCCCATCATCCCTCGCGGCACCAGGGTTTTGTCGTCTCGTCTCCACCTCCTCCCCCCCCTTCTCCGCCCGCGCCTGCTGCGCCTTGGCGGCTTGCGCGTGCTGGTTATCCACCTGGCGGGATCAGAGAGGGGCGCGGGGGAGATGGGAAAGACGGGCGAGTGAGTGACGCCGAGGAGTAGCGGGGGAGCGGGTTGAGGGGGGGGGAAACGTGAAGGAAGAGTGGGGGAACTGACGACGGCAGGTACGGAGGAATGACAGCTACGGAGGGGTGGAGGCGTATGCTTGAGAGACGTGGAGGAGTGAAGGAGGAGGGGAAAAGAAAGAGACTTGGGCAAGGAGTGGGGGCTTTTGAGTCGACTCAAAAGGAGACTTGGGCAAGGAGTGGGGGGATGGAAGAAGGGGAAGAGTGGCCATGGAAAGGTGGAGAGGGAGGGGTGGGGTGGGGAGGGGTGCGGAGGGATGCAGAGGGAGGGACGCAGAGTTGGTGCGAGCATGGCATAGTAAATGCAAGGCATCGCATGGCCTGTTCGTGAGGCGTTAGAAAGCCTGAAGGAGCCATTCCTCACCTGGGTGGCTACTTGAGTGCCGCTGCCGTTGTCGCTACCACCATTCGCATCCACGTTCCCACCGCCATCCCTCTCCATATACACGTCATCTCCTTCCCCTTCCCCCTCCCCCTCCCCCTCCCCCTCCCCTTCCCCTCCGCCCCCAGCGCGCTCAACCCCACCACCGCCGTCAGCAGCAGCGGCGGCGGCGGCGGCAGTGGCGGCGTCCCCCGCGGCGTAGGCGGCGTTGGGCGCGCGCTGATTGGCGAGTCCCATGAGCACCTTGCCGTTGGTGCCGCTGCCGCTGCCGCTGCCACTGCCGCTCGACTGGGAAGCAGGGCGAGAGAGAGGGCAGAACGGGCGGAGAGGGAAGAGAGAGGGCACGAAAGGGAGGGAAGAAAGAGAGGACATGGATGGGAGGGAAGCGAGAGGAGGAGGGAGAGGGAAGAGAGAGAAGACGCGATGAGGAATGGGAGCCGGCGTGCCGGCAGGTGTGCAAGGTGAGAGGAAATGCAGACTGCCGCATTCCGAAATCAGAGGCACGGACGGGAATTGAGAGGTCAGGACAGAGAGCCGGGGGGACGGGAGGGGAAGGGCGGGGACGAGACGGGACGGGCAGGCGGAGGGAACTCCGAGGGAAAACGCACGGCGAATGCACGGCGAATACAGAGGGGATGCAGAGTGCCGAACGATAAGGGGCGAGAGAGGGCGAGGGGGCAGGGCGAGGGGACGAGAGGGCGAGGGGGCGTACGGAGTGGCATCGGCGCCAGACGTGCTGCCAGAGGTTCTTGAGCTCGTTCTTGCGCACGGGCTTGACGAGGAAGTCCGCCGCACCCCTCTGAAAACATTTCAACACCATCTCCATGCTGTCGTGTGACGACATCACTGCAAGGGGGGAGAAGGGGGACGTGGGGTTGGAGGGCGGATGCGGGGGGGGAACGATTAGCAGGGAACAACTATCGAACACTTCAACACCAGCTCCGTGCTGTCGTGCGACGACATCACTGCAAGGGGGAGGGGGAGAGGAGAGAAGAACTTAGGACGATGAGGGTGTGAGGTTGGAGGGAGCAGAGGGTTAGCCGACAAGGTCTGGCATCAACTCAAGGGATGATCACTTGAGTGACCTCATCTCTCTACTTCCGTGCCGCGACAGATCTCCCTACTTGTATTTGCGGAGAGCAACGCGGAGACACACTGACGGGGGACTTGCGCGGCTGCACGTCCCCGCCGATGGGTCTCACACCGAGTGCCTCGCGCGGGCCGGCACGTACTTATAACGGGGATGCCGCGCAGCTCCTCCTTGCCCATGATGCGCGCGAGCAGCGCGATGCCCGACAGCCCCGGCATCACCACGTCCGTCAGCACCAGGTCGAACCGCCCGCCGCTGCCGCTCGATAGAATCTCCCACGCGTGCTGCCCGCTCGACGCGGGTGTGACTGTAACGGGGGGAAACGGTCGAGGTCGGAGCGGGATACGGGAGCCGGGGAAGCGGGAGAAGGGGAAGGGAAGGCGGGAAAAGCGGGGACAGCGGGGAGGGGAAGAAAAGGGAAGGGGGGTGGGGGGTGGGGGAGGGGAGGAAGGGGGGAGAGGAGACGCGTCTTGAGGTGGAGATTACGAGTGAGAAAAAGTTGGAGTTGCAGCGAGTCTCAGCCATAAGCCACCAGCCCTTAGCCACAAGACGTTAGCCACGAATCAGCCATTCGAACTACACTGGATCTACACAGAACTTCGCAACGGACCGTGACTCAGGCCTACATTCGCGAATACCATCCAGAGGGATGCGTGGCCACGCAATTACCGTCCTTCACTAGCAGCACACCCCGCTAGCAGCACGCACATTAGCAGCACACCCACTAACAGCACGCTTAACTTGCGTTTACTCCTTCGCCTACCAGCACGCACTAACCGCTGACCGAATGTACGCCGGCAGAACACATCGCTGACCATTTCAACGCCGACTGATTTTACGCGGCTGATTCTACGCAAAAGCCGAACTTCGGCTAGTCTATCGTCATTCCCAGCAGTCAGTCGGTTCGCGGCCGGTCCAACTCTTGAGAGACGCCTAAAAAGTCGTCTCACTATTCAGGCGCCGCGGAAATAGTTTCCCGCGCTCCGTGGGATTGCGGCCCACCTTCGTAGGAGCAGTTTCGGAGAAGGGCCGAGACGACGTGGCGCGTGGAGTCGTCGTCTTCGACGAGCAGCACGCGCAGAGAGCCTTCCATCAGGGCCCCCCACCCGCCGCCGCCGCCCGCTTCGTTCGGCCCGTCGTGCAGCTCGAAATCGTCGCCCGTCTCATCCCCGTCATCCTCCTCTTCGTTATCGCTATTAGCTTCATGCTGCTGCTTCTTCTGCTGCTCGGTTTCCGCCTCCCTGACTCGCGGGTCGCCTCCGGATCCGTTATCGTCTCCTGGAGTGACGTCCGCGCTAAGAACTGCATCGGTATTCGGTTGTTGTTGAGTCTGAGGCTCGGGTTGTAACGGGCTCTGCTCTTCCTGGTTTTGCGGGAAGATCTGCCTGTCTACTTCGTCGTTATTCTGATCGTACATCTGATCAACCGCGAGAGCTATCCGGTCGAACTCCCTGTCTAGACCGTGACCGTGCCGACGTTCACCGATACTCCCTCCGTCGCCTCTTACAGCGTCTCTCCTATCTAAATCTAGATCCCCAAACTCTCCGGCCATTTCGGTATCGGCCCCTTATCGGAAACGCCTGATCCGTAGTAGACACGCTAAGCACGAAATATTATCCCAATTCGGTTTCGTAGGGCTGGAAGGCGATATTTTGGACATTCGGCAAGTATATGGTGAGCATCTCGTCATGAACATTCAAGAAAACCAGGTTAACAAGCTGACTATCAGCCAAGGAAGGAAGAGTCTTGCATGAGAAAATGAGGCGAGAGCTCATCAGGACAACTCTAATGTGTTCCCTCGATCAACACGTGTGTGGCTCTCCTTCCTCCTCGTCTCACCCGGATTTTTTCCTCCGCCTTTCTGACCTGTGTGGCCTCAGCGAGATAGGGCCAAGACGAAAGAAAAATCTTCTTCTCCTCCTTGAAACCCTCGCTGCTCCCCGTGCCGCTGTGGGATATCAGTTGCTCGCCCATGGTTGGCTGATTTGCTGAATGGATGAACTCGACCTCGAGGCTTTCGGAATGTCGGATCGAATGCTGCACCCTCGTGGCACGGTCAGGCTGCTTTTTTTGCGCACCATCTGCCGAGCAATATCAGCCAAGCGAACTGAAGGCCAAAATGGTGGAACAGATGCCGTGGTGGAGAATATCTCGAAATTGCCGTTTCCGCGGTTGAGCCTTTCGGAACTGTCCGACTGCGGTTTTCTGTCATTTCATTTGCCTTGTCACCCCGCGAATTCGGGCCATGAAGGGCGAACCGAGAGGAGGATGGTTTATCAGGCTGATTTGTTGATCCACCATACTGTACTGTTGTGGTCTAGTGACAAGGCAGGACAGCACGTGATGTAAAGCTTGAGTTCATTCGGTTGCTGGTCTGGCAGGAAGAAAAATCTTGTGGCGGGAAACGAAGGGAACTTTTACTGGGTGACGAAACGGCACCACCAGCCAGAGCACCCTTCCAAATCAACAGCCAAATTCCAAAATCTAAACTAACCCCGATTGCGCGGACATGATGTTGGTTAGTGCTGGAGAGCAGGTGACAGGTGGACCATGCTGACTCGTTCGAGCCCAGAAAAATCCCCACAGCAATCGAGGACCATCCAGAAACAGAGGCTTGTGTACAGAAATCATTACTTGACAAGGTACGACTGTACGGGCAGCAATAATAGCTGAAGTAGGAGAAAAGGTTCCGAGATATTAGTCAGACTGGGATGCCCTCGCTGCATCTTGTGGCCAATCTTGTTCGCTGAAGTATCTCATCGTCATGCGAACGTCAAGGGGCACAAAATCGAGTTCTGCAAAATGCTTCCAGCCACAGAGTGCCATGATATGGCTTGGAAAGGTGAGACAGGGAGATGCTGACCTTGGATTGTTTTCAGATATTCACCAAACCGCAACCACACAGAAGTTCAGAACTGCGAGGGACAATATACGACGGATAGAAATAAAAGAGGCTCATATGAATACACCATATACCTGCTAACATAGAACTACAATCTTGTTGCTGTATATAGCCTGGCTGTACATAACATCTTGCCATCCCTATTAGTATATCTGTCAAAATGGGTCCGCCAGTGGCTCGACAATTAGGTGCATGCCAAATCCCGCCCGCAGAGTGACAGCACTAATGGGAAAGTGCTTATAGGCCGGGGAGAGGCGCCAGGAAAACCCCCTGACGATGTGCGCCAAAACTACCTTTGCCTCGGTGAGGGCAAAGGTGTTCCCGATGCAAATACGCGGGCCGGAACCAAAGGGAAGGAACGCCTGAGGATGAGAACAGGCTTCGTCTGGTCCTTCTGGAATGTGTTGGGATCAATGAATGCACGAGGGAAGAACGGGCATTGGAGGGGTATGAAGATTGGAGCACCGACCACCTGGCACTGAAGCAGTGCAAGATTATAGCAGAATAGGGATAGGGGACACGAAAGAACATGAGTATTGTTGAAAAGAAAGAGGAGGGGGAAACAGAGTGATGCAGCAAAAGTGCGAAAAGAGAACGGGGAATTAGGGAAGACGAAAGTTAAGAGAGTGACGGACTGGCGAAGCGTTCGGGGTTAAAGTCGTGGGAATGAGGGCCCCAGAAGCGCGGGTCATAGTGCAGCATGGCCACTGGTATCACCACATCCGTGCCCCGGGGGAGGTCGTATGGCCCCAGCCTGCATGCCTGGAGAGAGTGAGAGGGGGAGAGAGTAAGGTTGAGAGAGCGAGGGGAAGAGAGTGAGGGGGGTGGCGGCCTGGATGGGAGAGGCTGAGAGCATGCAACACACGCAAATGAACCCATTTCCACCCAGTTGAATGCCTCACCTCCAATCCCTTTCAAACCTTCCTTGCCAGTTGAACCACCGTGGCCCTTATGAGAATATCCTGCCCACACGAGCCCCTCTAGGCATTTCGACCCACTGGCTACTTCAGCCCCCCCAGACCATACCAGCCCATCTTTTGCATTTGAACCCGCCGAACTGAATCGGCCGCCTGTGTCTATCTACCTGCTGGCACATGCGGCTGATGAAGGAGACGGGGGGGAGCATGCGCAGGCTCTCCTGCAGCACCATGCCCATGGCCTTTAGTGCCCTTCCTCTCCCCCACTTTCCCGTGCATTTGACCCCCCCACCCCACCAGCCTGCGTGTGTCTACCTGCTGGCACGTGCGGCTGATGAAGGAGACGGGGGGGAACATGCGCAGGCTCTCCTGCAACACCATGCCCATGGCCTTTAATGCCGCCACCACCTCCCATGTCACCCGCCCCCCTCCTCTTTGCCCCTCGCCTTCCCCTTCCCCCCCTCCCTCACGTTCTGCTCCCACTCTCCCTGCTCCCTCCTGTCCTCCTTCCTCTCCCTCCCTTCCAAAACCCCCTTGGCCTGATTGTACTGATTTTTCTCCTCCTTTCTCTGACCCTGCCTCTTCTGCTGCTCCTGCTGCTGTGTTGGCCGTGGCGGCCGATGACGTGTCTTGTGCCCCCTGCTGAGTCAGCGCCTGCTTGAGCTCAGCTCTCAGCCGCTCCTGCCAGTCGGGATGCTTCGCCAGCAGGTAGAACGTCCACGTCAGCAGGCGAGCTGTGGTGCCGTGGCCTGGAGTTGAGGGGAGCAACAGAGAGGAAGACGGGAAGCAGTAGAGAAGGAGGTGGCAGAGAGGGGGGCAACAGGAAGAGGATGGGTGACATTGGTGAGATGAAGAACGCAGAGAGAAGACTTTTGAGACAACTTAAAGGAAGAAGAAGATGGACATTGGTGAAAATGAAGAAGGGGGCGATGTGATGCAGGGAGATGGGCAAAAGTGAAACGTAAACATGGCGCAGGTGGAATTGGAAAAGCTGGTATGGAAAGGAAGTACCAGCGAGGAGGAACGTGATGCACTCGTTTCGTCCATGAGCTGCTGGTCTGTCATCTCCTCGTTGCTTCTTAAACTGACTCGAGACGCACCCACTAACCCAAAACACCAGGGCAGTACCAGCGAGGAAAACGCATACCAGCGAGGAAAACGCATACCAGCGAGGAAAACGCATAGCAGCGAGGAAAACGCATAGCAGCGAGGAAAACGCATACCAGCGAGGAAAACGCATAGCAGCGAGGAAAACGCATAGCAGCGAGGAAAACGCATACCAGCGAGGAAAACGCATACCAGCGAGGAAAACGCATAGCAGCGAGGAAAACGCATACCAGCGAGGAAAACGCATACCAGCAAGGAGAACGCATACCAGCGAGGAAAACGCATACCAGCGAGGAAAACGCATACCAGCGAGGAAAACGCATACCAGCGAGGAAAACGCATAGCAGCGAGGAAAACGCATAGCAGCGAGGAAAACGCATACCAGCGAGGAAAACGCATAGCAGCGAGGAAAACGCATAGCAGCGAGGAAAAGGCATACCAGCGAGGAAAACGCATGGCAGCGAGGAAAACGCATACCAGCGAGGAAAACGCATGGCAGCGAGGAAAACGCATAGCAGCGAGGAAAACGCATAGCAGCGAGGAAAACGCATAGCAGCGAGGAAAACGCATAGCAGCGAGGAAAACGCATAGCAGCGAGGAAAACGCATAGCAGCGAGGAAAACGCATACCAGCGAGGAAAACGCATACCAGCGAGGAAAACGCATAGCAGCGAGGAAAACGCATACCAGCGAGGAAAACGCATACCAGCAAGGAGAACGCATACCAGCGAGGAAAACGCATACCAGCGAGGAAAACGCATACCAGCGAGGAAAACGCATACCAGCGAGGAAAACGCATAGCAGCGAGGAAAACGCATAGCAGCGAGGAAAACGCATACCAGCGAGGAAAACGCATACCAGCGAGAAAAACGCATACCAGGGAGGAAAACGCATACCAGCGAGGAAAACGCATAGCAGCGAGGAAAACGCATAGCAGCGAGGAAAACGCATACCAGCGAGGAAAACGCATAGCAGCGAGGAAAACGCATAGCAGCGAGGAAAAGGCATACCAGCGAGGAAAACGCATGGCAGCGAGGAAAACGCATACCAGCGAGGAAAACGCATGGCAGCGAGGAAAACGCATAGCAGCGAGGAAAACGCATAGCAGCGAGGAAAACGCATAGCAGCGAGGAAAACGCATAGCAGCGAGGAAAACGCATAGCAGCGAGGAAAACGCATAGCAGCGAGGAAAACGCATAGCAGCGAGGAAAACGCATAGCAGCGAGGAAAACGCATAGCAGCGAGGAAAACGCATAGCAGCGAGGAAAACGCATAGCAGCGAGGAAAACGCATACCAGCGAGGAAAACGCATAGCAGCGAGGAAAACGCATAGCAGCGAGGAAAACGCATACCAGCGAGGAGGAACGTGATGCACTCGTCCATGAGCTGCTGGTCCGTCATCTGCTCGTTGCCTGCCTCGTCATGTGCTGCCAGCATCAGCGCCAGTAGGTCTCGAGCACCCCGCCCTCTTGCCGCTCCTTGTTGCTTCTCT